TAACTCAGGCTTGGGGAGTGAAGGTGTGTGTGCTTTGGGGAGGGCATAAAGAGCTGATGTAATCTACAGACCGAAGCCTAGGGGGTTAACGGCTCATCCGTCGACCAAGACTGATATGGATTGAGTTGTGAAGGACTAAAATCACCTGGAAGTGTCAAGTCATGGATCAGCTTAAAAGGGAGGATGTTGTAGAGCAGACGTGCAGACCATGTACCACCTATGATGATGATGTCTGAATGGAAGGATGTGGTGAAACAGGCCAGGACCTAACTAATGATCAGATGATCAGCGTTAACAAATTGATCTGTTTATCTATCTCTATTTCTCCCATTTAGCTGCATACTTATTATTATAATTATTTAATTTGAATTTTTGGATGATGTTTAAGAATGATCAACACATAATTAAGTCTAGACATGGCTATAAATGGAAGGATGTGGTGAAACAGGCCAGGGGACCTTACTAATGATCAGCGTTAACAAATTGATCTGTTCATCTATCTCTATTTCTCCCATTTAGCGGATTACTTATTATTATAATTATTTAATTTGAATTTTTGGATGATGTTTAAGAATGATCAACACATAAGTCTAGACATGGCTATAAATCAAAATTCAGCATGTACTGTAGATCCCTATTCAAAGGCCTATTTACACAAAAAATATTTCAATGGTATAAGTGGGCTTTTGAGTCGGTCACAGGAGGTTTTCACCAGGTACATTGATTCTATTATAGAAAACAATAAGATTGTGTCTGTGTGTGAGCATACGACTGATTCTGTTCAGTGTGGTTACGGTATATATATGTAGAAAAGTGAAGTGAGTCGCTGTTATAGATAATGCAGAATGTTTAATAGTTTTAAGTCTTTTTAATAAGCAATTATTGTTAAGGTTTTGATGAAAACCTTTAAAATAATTTCCCAGCCAAAACTGAAAGAGTACACTAATAAGCAGATTACACACTTTTAAGGGTTTTCCTGGCCAAAACTAAGATTGTGGTCGGCTTATGATCCATTGGGAATAAATTTCCAAGATCTCAATAATGGCAAGTTACCTCAAGATTATTACAGACCTGTTTACCCTCAAACGCTTAAAATCGTACAATATCATCACAAAATCGTTCAATACCTTATATTTATAGTAAAAATAAACATACAGTATATATAATTATTATAATGTTTACACCTCAAAATCGTACTTTGTACGCCAAAATTGTAAGAGTAAACAGGTCTGTTATTACCCAGTGTGATAAATCAAGCATCAAGTTAAAATGTAAAAAAATAAAACCAAAAAAATTTTTTTTTAAAATTAGTGGCATGGGTAATGAAAAATAAATAGAATAAAAAGGACTGGATTTACCTGAAGTAAAATGTTGACCAGTCATTGTCCTGGCATGTCATGATTTCTCCTGCACATTCATCATAAGAGCAGCTGTGAATTCTGGCAGTGATGGGGGTCTTCAAGTGATCTCTGTGAAAACAACAAATTTAACCTGAAAGTAAAACAATACATTAATTAGTAGAAGACAGAAACTTTATTATATTAGAGCGCAAGCTTGCATTCATATGAAGACAATATCCTATGAACACTTTTAACCTGAAAGTTATCATCATGAAAAGTACCCAAAAAATTAATCACACACTTGGTGTAATCATTGCTTTTACACAAGCCATGTTTACATGGGTGTTTCGACAAAAAATTCCTGGTTCTCTAAGGGCAAGTTGAATAGCTTTGTTTATTTATTAATCTATTAAATAGTTAAAGTTCAACCACTATTGGAATTAGGGAAGTGGTGTTAAATGAACAAAAGAAAACCTTCAAAATGGTCACGTCAAGCTCAGTGCAAGATTTTAACTACAACTGCATTACAGTAGTGAATCTTTAAAAATTTAAATAAGATTTTTTGTCACAGATCAATGGTAATATAATTCTAACCTGCAAGATGTAACTCTTGATTTTTACTACTATGATTTTAAACAAAAAAATGTATGTTATAGTGACAGATGAATCTAAATATAAGAAGCAATCCATCTAAATAGCTCTTTTGCATTTTTTAATTATTTCTTTTACAGCAAAAATGCACTCAATATGTCAGAAGGAAATTTAGATATTTTGGGGATTTTTATATAATTTTAACTAAATTAGGAATGTGCAAGACTTTACCCTAACCTAATCAGTGAAACGAACCATTCCAATACAGTCTTTTGATATTTCTTACATGCACTAGCTGGATTTATCTTTATATTAAGTGCATTCAAAGGATCAAGATACTAATATTTATTATTGGAAGGGGGATTAGGATGATGCTAGATGTTAAGAGAAAATGTAAAGATATGTGTTTTTTATGGCATGTAATTGACTAGGACAGAGGCTCCCAGACTGTGTCCTGCTGCAACCTGAAGTGTTAAAAAATTAATGGACTTAATAAAAGCCATTTATTTATAATTAAGTTGGTATTTTTCACTAGTTCTCCAACCTACTTGGTACTCTGTACTTATTAAAGTAGCAGTTGGTTTTGTGCAGCGTCTATGCTGTATCAATTAAATATTGTTTTGATAGAGTCAAGTGAAGTTATTGAGGTATGTCTTCTTGTTTTTAAGCATAAGGTTTCAAAAATGGATTAGATTGTTTATTTTACAGTGCACAAAGAATGTGGCTTAGAGCAAAATTGAAAAGATGTGGGTGCAGCAACGGTGCTGTGACTCCAAAACGGTTGGGAAACTCTGGACTAGGATATTTGAAATTCATGTACTAGCAGCATTGCTGGTAGGAGAGCTGATCACCCGAAAGCTTTTTCGTTAACCCTCTTGGGACGTAACCCTCTTGACTTCTCGCTGTCTAGCAGTGAATCTGACACTGACGAAAACAATCAGGAAAGTAATGAAGACAATCAAAATGATTATGTTTACGATAACGTTGTGAATCATTGGATTAGGGTTCTGAATTGGATAGAGATGACCCCTATGAATTTTTAGAAAAAAATAGAGCCTTTAAATATGCCTCATGGGATAAGCACCCCATTTGAGTACTTATGCTAATTTTTACACAATATATCATTAAAATGTTTGTGAGAGAGAATAATAATAATAACTAATAAGTATGCAGACAACTTTCTCAGTAACACCCAGCTCAAATAAACCATAATTGGATGCACAATGGTGAAAAGGACCGCTCTGTCTAAAGTGGTAAAGCAACCGAAAAGTACCCCGAGGGCAGGAAAAGGAGTAGAACTCTGTGCCAGGGGTGTCTGAAGGGCCTCCATGGGCCTTATTTCCCAAAACACATGTGTTAGGATCCATTCATGCTTCATCCATCAAAAAATTCACATAATTTACACCTGTAAGTCATGTTTATTCTCAGTCGAAATCGACGAGTCTGTTTACATGCAGAAAAAATCATGTCGGGCGAGTTTTGCCACAACAATGGGTCTCTGGAGGCATTTATGAGGAGATTAGTGAGTGTTTCATGTTTTGTGTACAAGATAGATCAGCAGCTACACATTACACTTATGATTATGCCGATAATCACAGCATAGATCCTGCTGGGCACAACAGTCATGTCAGATCAATGGAGAGCATATAATGCAATTGGCACCACTCCGGGATTGACTCATTAAACGGTCATTCATTCTGTTAACTTTTTGGATCCAAACTCAGGTGCCAATTGCCTATACTCTATACCCACAAAGCATCGAATGTTTGTGGAAATCTGCAAAAGTAAAGAGACAGAGAGAAACAAGCGCCACACTGGCACACACAGACATAAGCTCCATTTGTATATGTGTGAGCTCATGTGGCGTCAACATGTTAAAGTAAATGGTTTTTATGTCTTCAACGCCATTCTAGACGATATTGTTCAATTTTGGCCACTACAGTAGCGGAGGACCTTAAAAGAAGTAAGTATGTTTTTATTCAAAATAACATTTGTTTGATTGGAAGTGTGAAGTGTTTTAATGGAAATTTGAAATAATGTATAATAATTTTTGAATTCAGTTTGATCAGCCGATGACATCATTTGCGTGTTTATTAAAGTTGCAGTGAATTAGCCTTAATTAGGGTTCAGATTAGGTTTAGGGATAAATTTAGGGTTCAGGTTAGGTTTAGGGATACATTTTAGGGTTCATGTTAGTGTTAGTTTTAGGGATACATTTAGGGTTCAGGTTAGGTTTAGGGATACATTTAGCGACATAAGTTCGTGGGTCACGATAACCAAGATGGCGGCCGCGGGCTGATCTCTCCGAATTTACCGTTTTTTATTCAAAAGAACATTTGTTTTATGGGAAGTGTGAATAATCATAATTTTTGCGGTGAATTAAAATTGAAGTATCCACTTCTGATACCGGGTCCGAATAGCCGCAGCCAAANCCCCCCAAAAAAAAAAAAAAAGCAACTTTGATTGAAACTTGAGTGATGTCATGTTAATGATTATAGAACTATATTTAAAAATACAATAAAATTATAAAAATAAACGTATTCTTACTTGCTATTAGATGTACGTCACATTGTTCTGTGTTTTTTCACGCTACATGAAATTCTTCAAAACATGGCACATTTCTCGATTGATAATTGATAACAATGGCTCTAAGATGGCAACCCAACAGGAAGTATCCGTCATAACTATCACGTGACCAACCGGATCTGAATAGCCAATTGCTGCTATAGGTACCCGGTACCTATAGCCACTCCGAAAAATCAAAGTGGCCCGGGAAAAAAGAACAAATAGCGGCCCTATCTTCATGACTTTTATTTTTGTTATATCACCAGTCCTAGTGGCCCATCGGGAATCTTCCCGGTGTCCCGGCGGCCCAGTCCACCCCTGGCTACTAGGTAGAACTTTATAAGATATTTAAACAGAGATAGCGGACTTTTAAAAAAATATGTATTTTGCCGTCCACCTCTTGTCACATGACATGTCTGCCGGAGTAATAACACATACTAGTCATCCGGTTGTCACGTGACATGCCCGTCGGAAGAATATCTCCCGCACTATGTGTCCGGTCGCCAGACATGTAGACACTGCCTTTTAAAATAGTATGTGTTATTGTTAGGCAGAGCTTGGGCTTACATTTCATTAGCTTTTTCTCAGACCACTGACACTCTCAAGTTGAGGGGTCACTGCCTTGTGAGTTGGTATTAGTATTAATTAATTAATGAATAATATCAGTATGAAAAAAAAAAACTAGCTGAATCGAAAACAGTCAGTTAAGCCTACCTGTACCTAACTTATTACTTATTAAATTAAACTTAAGACTTAAGTCATTTGTCACTTATCTCATTATTATTTTAAGTACATTAATACTAATAGTCATTAAAAACAAGAACATCACTATCACTGAATCACTAATAAATAAAGTCTGTGGTAAAGTGTTAAATGATGAATGCTGTTTAAATCTAATTTAACGTATTTACAATTGTAGGGATACTTAACTAAGGCTAAGTTCCGGCTAAGGTATTAATATTGTGCAGAAAATGTTGTTTTTTTTTAAATTTCAAAAATTATTTTTTTCTAATTTAAAATTAGTTGTTTTTCTACAATCTAATCTACATTTAATTCAATTTCCTTGGCTTCATAGACAGAGTGTCTCACTGCCCTTCTGCACATACTTTTTTTGAGTAATGACAGTAATGTATGTGTTGTAGAAATTTAAAATTCATTTTCTACTTTTTAGTGTATTTAATGCTTATCTTTTTTAAAAGCAAATCTATCTGATCTGGAGTTCATAATGAAAATTTTTAATTTGCTCAACTCAAGCACAGCCCAATTGTTTTCTTCTTGCAAGGTGAGTCCAGTGTCTCTTGATTTCTCGACTGCCATTTTATTCACTTCCTCCAAGTCTGCCTACTCTGGTAACACACTGCTCTGGTAACACCCTGTTCTTGTTTTAAACTATTCTTGTAGTACCCATTTCTGATGCCACCCTTCTGTGACACCATGTTCTGGTGGCAACATCTTCTGTTTGCAATATACTATGTCAAATTGTTCTGGCTAGTGACACCCCGTTTTTGTTGCACTGTGTTCTGAGGGCACCCTGCTCTGGTGAAAACCTGTTTCTGTGGGACACTGTTCTGTTGGTTCATTGCTCTGGTGACACTCTGCAGTGGTGACAATCACTGTGGCAGCCTTCTATGTAAGGATTCTGCTCTTTTGATGCCCTGTGGTGATGGCGCCCTGGTCTGGTGTCATCATATTCTGGTGGCACCCTGTTATTGTATTTAACTGAGTTATGTTATGGAAAAGCCTCATGCAATCTCTGTCAAATTTTTTTTTTTCATTGGGTATCATCCCCTTTTCTTAGGTTGTCAACCAGTGCTGTCTGCACCCCACTAGTGACGCCACTGGTAAGTCGCTCTGGTAAGTGAAAGTAATTTTCTTAAACTTAAGAGCTTTGTTTGGACCTGAACATAAGTTAAGTTTAGCTTTTATTATAAGTTTATAAATAAGTGTTTGTAACTTTAGCCCAAAATGAATAAAAATAACTTGTTTTAAAATTAATAACTTCTACAGGTATGTGAAGATGGGAGACAATGATCAATCCCCAATTATAGATCTGGATGCAATGGGAAACAATGATCAATACCCAAATACAGATGTGGATGCAATGGGAGAATTGACTCTGTCATCTATAGAGTATGGAGCTGGTGAAAATGTGATCATAAGTTATTTCTTCTTGCCCTACTTTCTTAGAATTATATAAAAAGTTAAATCTAAAATTAGTCAAATAATTTTGGAGTTCCCCATTTATGACATTGACATGATTTATTCTTTGCTATTGTTTTACCCTTAGACATGTCAGATTTCTTCCTTTACATGCTAGTGCAATGCTAGGACGTAATCAGGCTAATTGTTATTAATTATAGGGACCAAAGATAAATCCCCGGACCCATACATACATAGCTAACAGGCCTGTTGCTCTACTCATTTCAAATCATTTACGGCTAATTAATTTAACCTAATTTAAAAATTATTACTTTTATGAACAAAAAACGGATTTAAAATTACAGAAGAATTTTATTGAGGTTCCCTGAGCTTAATTTTTTGCTCATAGTCTTAGCTACAGTTTTTTTGTTTTTTTTTAAAATTTGGTATGAATGAATAACAGTTTATTTGAATATTATATTTACATGGATAAAAACATAGACTAGGTATGGTGTCTCTGATAGAACATATACGCACATAGTGAATCCATGACACAAATCTTATGCCATTGCAATCATTGACATCAAGTCCAACCCAATGCCAATGTCACAATCATGCTTCCAATGCTTCGACTCTACACTAATTTAGAAGCTGTTTTATATATTTTATATGAGTTTTTAAAGGATCAATTCAATTCCTTCTCTAGGTGAATGATGACAGTGAGATGCCAGCGCTACAAGATGAGCGATTTGGAGAAAGGTAGAATCTTATTACTGTTCATACATGATGACTGAAAGATGCCAGGGAAAATCAAACCAATTTAATCAGCTTAATCAATAAAAATTATAAACCAGTCTATTTCCCACTTGAAAACAAAAAGCTAAAATAAAAAATGATAGCCGAATTGTAGATAATTATATATGCTACAAGTAAGCAACTTAGAATTATCGTCATGGTGACATTTAGTGACTTTTACGCCATGTTGACATTTAGTGACCTTTACATCATGGTGACAATAAGTGACTTAATTACTTTTACATTCAAACAATTACCCCAGATTCCCTAGAAAACTGTTTTATACAGTTATGTCCTCTCCGAACTTCCCATTCCATTTCCCAAATCCCACTGATGTGTGGCATGTCAACAAAACTCTTTTTAATACTGTAACCTCTCTCCCCCCTCCCCCCTTTTTTTGAAAACATTTTAGCACATGGCAAGTATTTGTTGAAAAATAGTGGGCAATACATTTGATACTTTTTTTTAATTTAGAAAAGATAATTTTTTAAAAATTTGAATTACTTTTATTTCATCAGTTTTTATGCACTATTACAAACATAGTTTTAAAGGTTGTCATTAAATTTGAAAAATATTTGTTCAGATTAGAGTGACTAGAAGTTTGATAGGAGATTTCATTAAATTTTGAAATATTTGATATAGTGTTAATAGTAAAGCTTTTTTTTTTAAAAAAACATAATTTTTTTCTTCTTATGCCTTTTAGTTTTAGGGTCTGGGTTATTATTCTTAAAAATGTAGGAACCCATGGTATACATTTTTATTAGATTGTATTTTTCAAATCACTTTTTGAAAGATGATGTTCCGGGAGGAACTGATCTTTTTGACGACCAATAAAATCTTACACCAGTTGAGGTATAGAAATATTTAGTATTTTTAACATATGGGGCTGTGTGGTCAAGTGTGTTGACATAAGATGACATACACACTAGTGGGCGAGAGTTTGAACCCCAGAGATTTACAGAGAAATCATCACCTGTACTCAGGGCAGATGGACTTATCATCATGCATAAAGACTTCTAAGAGAAGGAAAACTATGACAGGCCCATGAAGCCACCGCTTTGTGGCAGTGTAAAGAAAGCTGCCCAAGAAAACAAAAAAGAGAAAAAAATCAGATGTGTGACCTCCAGTCTAACCAATGTACCTCCTGCAACACCTTCCCATTACAAGTGGACCGAACAACCTCAACATTACAGCAACTGAAATAGCCTGAGTCATTGGAATTGTAATACAAATATTTTGACATATTCATTTTTATAGATATATACTCCATCAAACGATATGCACAAATTTGTTCCATCAGATTCGGCAAGGACTTTGATTTCATCAAAGAAATTGCATCTGGTTCTTTTGGTCGTGTTATTGAGGCATCTAACAGAATAGATAAAAAACACTATGCAATAAAGATCATTCAACTTCCAAAAAGGTAGAAATTATGAAGTATACCCATTTGTTAACAAAACTAATATTCCAAATTTAATGTAAACACCACTGCACACTCTCGTTAACAGTGTACTGTTAAATATGAAATATAATATTCCCTAGTTATATTATTAAAATAAATTAACATTAAATTTCTATTAATATCCTTTTGTAATTCATTATGGAATATACATTTCTTATGTTTCTCTCAAGCAAAGATGCAGAGAAAAAAGTCCTCGGGGAGGTGAAAACTATGGCTATTTTAAAGGATGATCACATTGTGGGATACAACACAGCTTGGATTGATCCATCACCTGACGGTCAAAAGTCACATCTGTACATTCAGATGGAGCTTTGTGAGAAAACTCTAAATGACTGGCTTTTTGAAAAGAATACTCGGGATCGCATTCAAGTATTGACTTACTTTCGACAAATTGTCTTGGCTGTTGATGCTATTCACAGCAAGAGCTTCATCCACAGAGATTTAAAAGTGTGTAAAATATAACAAACATTTATATGTATATATATAAGCACACAGTATATAGGATCTACTTGTTCATACGACTGTTAATTCATAAGTCAAATCCCTCAGTTGATAAACTATGGTCAATTTTCGCTCAATTAACTTTTTTCTGGCAGAGCTCCCCATAAAGCATGACTGACTGGGTTTAAATCAGCACTGTTAGTTGACCACCTTACACTTCAATGATGGTGATAGTGTTCTAATTTAAATGCAAAAAGTTGGCAATGTCCCGTTCTGGCAATGACATTTAGCTTGAGTATCATGAAGTGACCGGGGGGTAGAGGGGGGGCTGTCAGGATCAGAGTTTTCCCATTATCTGAAGCACCAACTGAAGCAAAGATCAGCTGATGTTGGCAATGACCAAGCTTTGGAGAAATATTTTGAAATTCTTTATTGACAGTAGCATAAATAGATGATGTCCACTCTATGGAAAAGTTTATTGACATTTTTCATCATAGATCAGCAAAATTGCTATATTTAACAAAATAATTAAACTATATATTATACAATCATATCCTCTTTTTTTTTGCCCAACCTGTATAAACGTATATGTGTGGTTATATATATTTATATAAATACCTATGTGTGTACACATTTTTTTAAAGATTACATATTTTATACCTGAAAAGGCAAAAAAGGTTGAGTATTTTGATTTTATTTTTAACTCTCAACACAGCCCACAAACATTGTAAGCTCTCAGAGACTAGTGAGTTAACATTATTGATTGTGAGTGTGATATCAGTATGAATTGGGAATGAGATATTTTAAACAATATAGTTTACTTTCAGTGGTTATTAAACTCTTTTAATTTAATTAATTATCTGTAATTTATTCATTCTCAGCCATCAAATATTTTCATCTCCAAAAATGGAGTAATGAAAGTGGGGGACTTTGGACTGGTGACAATTCATAGTGTCATAAATGAATTGGAACAAGATGCTGAGCCAGGCACGACTAACATACACTCTAGACACAAGTACACACGTTTGTATGCCAGTCCTGAGCAAGTAAGTTCAATTAGTTTAAGTCAGATTCAATAATATAGCAATAACATGAAATGCTAATGGACCATAATAACCAAGACAAAAAATAGTTGGTGGTAATGTGGGGGATGGTGCTTTTCCCCCTACTTTTCCTACTAACTATAGAGAGGATGATAAAGACAAGGTATCTAGTGGACTGTCCTTAGCTTACTATACTTTTCCTACTAACTATAGAGAGGATGATAAAGACAAGGTATCTAGTGGACTGTCCTTAGCTTACTATACTTTTCCTACTAACTATAGAGAGGATGATAAAGACAAGGTATCTAGTGGACTGTCCTTAGCTTACTATACTTTTCCTACTAACTATAGAGAGGATGATAAAGACAAGGTATCTAGTGGACTGTCCTTAGCTTACTATACTTTTCCTACTAACTATAGAGAGGATGATAAAGACAAGGTATCTAGTGGACTGTCCTTAGCTTACTATACTTTTCCTACTGAATACTTTTGTTGGATAGTGATGAAGACAAGTCATCTAGTAGACTGACTTTAGCCTACTTTACCTTTCCTACTGACTAAAAATAATAATAATAATAAAGTGTATTTCAAAAACACGCTTCATCCCCAAAGGCTCGAAGCGCGGTAGATAGAGAGGATGATAAAGACAAGGTATCTAGTAGACTGACTTTAACCTACTATACTTTCCCTGCTAAACAATGGTTGGATATTGATGACAGCCTTCAACCAATTAAAAGACTTGAGCTTTGTCTATGACTAGGGATTAGAGAGGCGTAAAATTGTTTATAATTCTAACAGATACCCAGAGTACTTAAATTTTAAGAGTTTGTCTTTCATTTTTCAGCTTGAAGGCGAGTGCTACGACTGCAAGGCTGACATCTTTTCACTGGGACTCATCTATCTGGAACTCTGTATTCCATTGCAAGTTGAGGAGAGAGAGGACATGTTTAAAAGAGCGAGAGAAGGACGATTTCCAAGAGAGGAAAGATTCCCAGACCCCAGGGTAATTATGTAATTACTTTATTTATTGTAATATGAACAATTTACTTAGTTTTAGTAACGAATATGTTCTACAAATATACACCTGTGCAACAGCTGAATGTGAAAATTTGGCAGGGGAGGAAGCTTGAGAAGTACCCCAGACTTATTTACTGTGGAGTTTTGGTGGCCTAACACCCCATCCACTCCGTCTACTCCTGAACGTCTTCTGTGGGGGGGGGGGGGGGGGAATAGAAATATGGTCCTGAAAAGACATACAATCAGACTGTAAAAATCATCTAGTACTAACAGTTCTTGATTTATGAATATTTGCTAAGACCAAAATTAAAAGTTTTTTTAATACATTATATAATTTTGGATATGATTTATATTAAAATTAACTATTTACGGTTGTATCTTGTTTCACTTTTGCTTACCGTTTTTTCTCATTTAGTTTATTTTTGAAGTATATCCATGAAATAAAACGTACACATTCAGTATGTAATAAAATGCCTATTTTATTTAAGAATTACAGCTAATATATAGGATGGCTTTGTATGAGTATGCAAATGGTGAATATTGTGTTGGTTTCACACATAATGATTAACAACGAACATAACTTGTTTGCAAATCGAGAACTGCCTGTAAATGAGATCTCACACTTGTTGACCTATCTAAATAGTAGTAAAGCTACAACCACACAATAAAAAACATGTCTAAGAAAGAAACTTCATTGGTCAGGTTCAACTGTGACGTATAAAACTCTGATTTGAAATGCAAATCCTCTCATCTCCGTATTTAGGAACTGACCATCTGTCATTTTATTTGAAAAAATTCTTTTGTCAGTGATTGGCTAAGCAAAAAGAATCATTAAAAAATTTGTCCTATTATTAGTTTTATTTTCATTACCAGTTGTGGAACAGGAAATAATTAATTTTGTAGGAATAAACAGCCTTAAAAATAAGATAAACTGCTCATTTTATGAATAGAGAATTGTTCAAACTTTGAGTTGTTGCTTTAACCATTTTACCAGTTGTTGACAGCACAAAATATTCTGATACTTTTTCTTACATCATATGAGCTCTTTGTGCAAGTAGTTGCCGCTATTAAGTGGAATTCCAAATGGAACCTCTATTGCATCAGCTTCTTTCACAACACCATCTCAATTGTCATTGTTTTCAAATGCCTTAAGATCTTCTTTGTTGGATTTTAGCAGAAGCTCTGCTGATAAATAATCAACTGATGAGTTTTGTGATTCTTGCGACAGTGAATTGACTGCCCCCAATAACTTTTCTGATGAGTTTTGTGATTCTTGCGACAGTGAATTGACTGCCCCCAATAACTTTTCAGCCACATGCAGAAATGATATTGAATTAATTCTTTTTCGCAACCTTAGAGATTCTTGTATGTTCAACTCACCATACTGGTGGAACACTCAAATCTTGTATGTTCAACTCACCATACTGGTGGAACACACAAATCTTGTATGTTCTACTCACCATTCTGGTGGAACATAATTAAAAGTTATAATTAATTAGCACCGGTACATGATTCTCAGACACCCTTTATATGTACATATTATGTTTTAAATTCTTGTCTAGTGCAGAGATCTTCTACATGATATGCTTGTAAAGAATCCTGCAAGAAGATCAACAGCCAAGGATATCTTAAAACATCCAGTTTTATATCAAAATAAAAATAAATTTGCAATACATGGAAACCAAAGTAAGTAAGCCTATTATACTATTGCAGGAAAATTATATTAATTTAGCTCCCAGCCTTAACTCTTTCTCTCACGATCAATGCTTCCATCGTCGATTTTAAGTTAAGCTTCTGTCTAGTACTAGTAATGAAAGTTTCGGAAAGAAAAAATAATAATTCATCAGCTTATGAACAACCAGCGCCCAACCCCCCCCCCCTTTCTTCCCCAGCTAAAGTATCTTGTAGAAGAGCTAATACTGTTCTTACTATATATAATTTAGATTCTAATTTTAAAAAAGCTGCTGATCTTGCACTAAAACTGAGTGCAATTTCAGATTTTTCCCTATAAGAAATGTAGATATAAATTTGGAGCTTGTATAGCGACTAGTAAGTCAAAACACCTTGACTGTTCTTTTTACTTTGCTAGACACATTATTCACAAAGTTTGTACTCTCAATAGATAAGTATGCTCCTTTAGGATTAAAATCGACACTCCAAAATTCAAGAGATCTATTTTTATAGACTGGAAAACCTTTCAATAATTATGAGACCTGCAAATTGCTAGCGAATGTTTTTGTTACATTTTGGATTATAAATTTCTATTTGTGTGACTTGGAATGCGTGTTTGGCGAACATTTGTTGAATTTTTTTATTTAAAATTTATATTTCCCTCAAATCAAAATCATGTTTATATATTAAAATTTAAACCTAAGTCTGTATTGCCTGTAAAGAGCATGCATTCCCCATTTACTCCATACCAAACATAACATTTTCTAATGAAAAATAAAAACATGGTAGTGCATAACAAATTTGCAAAATGGATGATTCAGTGAGAACGAGGAAAATATTTCCGGACACAAAGAGTTAAGAAGACATTATCAGAATACTCTAACTCAGAGCTTTCCAGCCCATGTGTCGTGACATGTTGATGCATACATGTCAACCTGTATGTTTTACCCATACTTTGTACAGTATTTATACAGTTGTCGGCCACAAAGGCTTTTGTACAGGATTTTCTCTGGATTTAGGAAGAAATATTTTGTGCACAAGATAGACATACAATTCTGGTGAATTTCACCTTGGACAACGAGAAGCTTAAATCCTTTTGGTCTGTTCAAAATGACCAAGTTGAGGATCAGTGGACAAATGCTTTTGGTCTGTTCAAAATGACCAAGTTGAGGATCAGCTGACCTTCTAAATTTAGAAACAGGGCAGTTTCATTGACGCCATTCATTAATACTAAGATGGCCAACAGCATTGTCTGGTAATAACAACAACTCACCATCATCATCAGTGGCGTTACAGCCCATGTAGCTCCACCTGTTTCACCACATCCTTCCATTCAGATCGATCCATGGCTTTCCGCCTCTATGCGCAAACCCTGCAACTGGTGTAAGCCCTTCTCTACATCGTCAATCCATCTCAGTCTTGGTCGACCGGTGAGCGTCTCCCCCTAGGGTTCTGCCTGTATATTACTTTTGCTTCTCTACAATCCGGCATCCTTTCAATATGTCCTGTCGAGCGCAATCTTCCTTGTTTTTTATTGTTGCGTCTGTGGGTGGGTCTTTGTACAATTGGTATGGCTCTTGGTTTATGCAGATTCTCTAAAAATCACTGTCTGTCACTGGGCCCTATATTTTCCTCTCCCATGTATTGAGCAGGTTCTCTGCTTTTCTGTTAAGGGACCAAGTCCACGTCTTCCTACCATACGTTACTACTGTAGTGGTAGTGGTGTATATTTTCATCGGGTGAAAAGTAAGGTTATAAGTTGAAGGTAAACTCAATAACTTTGTCAAGACGGACAAACTTTGTTTTACTACATTAATTTAAATTCAGGAACTTGTATTAATACAGCTAGCATAATTAACCGAAATGTTAGCTCTGACTGCTAAAAAACTACATATACATCTCTATCAAATTAAGAACACATGAGATGTGTCATATTATCTGTGTTGTTATTACAGTTGACATTTGTGTCTGCATCTCTTAGATAGGAGCTTAGTTTAATCTCCACTACTCATAAAACTTCATCAAACAACCCTTCAAAACAATTTTTAAAAATAAATCCTTTATAAATATAAAATGTAACATCGCGCATGGAAAGGGGGTGGAGGGGGGGTGTTTGTGCTGAAAATGCAACAAAACATGCATACAGGTAACACACTTTATAAGAATCCCCACTAGTCCCCCCACCCCGGGCTCGCAGTCGCACTTTTTTTCATGCTCCTGAACTATATTAATATTTTAAGGGCCCACCTGCTTTGACACCGCAGATTTAATTCACCAACTATTTCAGAAAAACAAAAGAAAATATTATGCACCAACGCACTTGCAATTTTTAAAGTTTTTAAGTTAAAAAAAAAAAAGACTCACTTAGCGCAGTTATCCTTTCATGTTCCCCTTGAAAAACAAAAAAAAAACTGATTTTGTGGGGTTGGGTTGGGGGGTGGGACCAAACGTTTGATAGAATGTGTTGTGATTTGTTGTACTGAAATATTACATTGACTGTAAGGGACCCAGCTGTTGCTCTTTGATGGCCCCGACAAGTATGGAACAGGCCTGCCTCAATCGTCTCTAGTGGAGCCCCCCTGTGCTCATTTTGGAAACTCGACTTGTTAACCGGTGTGTTTGATAAGGTCAGACATATATCAGGTGGTTCGCCGCTATCCTGGGATGATCTCTTTTGGATCAAGCGTATATTCTCCCTGTTCCCTGGTAAAGGGTGCTTGTTCTCGAGTGAATCGACCACATCCATAAAGGAGGGTCTTTTAAGCCTTGTCCGCTTTACCCAGCGATCAGGTTTCCATTCTTTCCATTCAACGGTATCGCTCTACGGTCATTAGGATAGCTTTGTCCCTCCTGATATTTATTTTGATTATTTTGTGTAAAATTCAAATATATTCATGTTGTAAGAATCATTCTTATTTGGAAAATGTCTTTTAAAAATTGTGTGCGTAACATATTGTTTTTCTTTCTTTTTTCATCTATCTCATAAGTTCAGTAACTACATCTAAATGGTTTGAGAAGGCACTAACTGTAAAATATTTTAATTTCAGGCACTCATTTTCATAACATACAAGCCAAACATCTGGTGATTGGAACAGGAGCTGTGATGAACATCAATTGTGGACTCGGAAACCAGACTAAGAAAATTAAGATTTCCCCTCAAAAACCATTGACTAGTAAGTATAATGTTGTTGAGTCTAGAGGTATAATTAAATTAAGCATGATGACACGTTGTCAGCATTGAAACATTCCTTAATTCTGAAAGTAAGACTGAAGACATCAATTTACATAGATCACTTCCACTGTCAAGTAAGTTGGTTTGAAAGGTCCACTACCTTGTTCTGTTTCTCAACCCCTTCATCTCCCAAGTGCCAGCTGGTGGTGGCAGGACTCCTCATGATACCTCTTTGCCAGCTTTAGTCATAATCTTCAGTAGACAACAAATCCTAAAGACCCAGAATATTCTTTGTGTTGTGTACAGCTTGCGTTAAATCGTATCACAATGTGACCTTCCCCAGTCTTCTTTTTTCAGACAATAATTTTTTTAAGGCTATCGGTTCAAAATAACTGTTATTCAGCCAAAACTATATATCCATGTTATGGTTCTTTGCCATGCACTCACAAAAGAATTTTTAAAACTATGATAAAATAACATTTGCTCACTTGAAATTAACTGTTTCATCATTATAACGCTAAAAAGAAGTAACTCAAAGAAATTATTCCTTTTTTAAGTTAACAGTTCAATCAAACTTAACTAACTCTTTCCCAATACCTGGTACTAGCCCAACAAAGTTATTCCTGCAATAATTTCTCTTCATTGTAGTTTATTTATTGTTCGAATTGATTTGCTTATCTTGTTTTGAAATTGACACAAGCCCTGTCCATGTTATGTACAGTTCAGTTATTTAGTTTATCAAATTTAGATATTCATGAAGATAAAGCATTTCCTAAAAATAATGCAGTCTAGCAGTTTGTGTATATTTCTCCCACTTTTTACATAAATTTTCTTTTGTGATTTTTGGAATAATCAGAACAAGTAGATGATATTGTAGTTTTTTAAGGTTCAAGAATTACTGCTTTAAGAGTGATTATTGTTTTGGTATGTGAAGTTGTGAATCTGAATGTCATTAAATATTTCTTGCCTATTTCAAGTTTGCATTGCTTTTATTTTGTAATGTCATATACGAGTCATCTCCTCATATTCTTGTATTTCAATTTGAGTTGTTTCTTGCTCTCCCAAAACTTGTTCTTTCTCCCCATTATCTTCACTAGTTCTTTTTTTAGTCAGACAAATAACCTTCGTTTACAGTATTGTCCACACAAATAGCTTCAAAAGATGATTTGTTTAGCTTCCTTAGATACATAATCCATGGTAAAATGCCAGCAAGGCTGAGGAAGTGTAGAACTGTGAATAATTACTTGCTCAGAAATTGACTAACAAAACCACTACCCTATGGTTTTGGATGTTACCCTTTGTGGTGTAACTAAGGACTATGTCAATTTAAATGTGGCTAAGTATGGCCAACACCAGTAGAGGGAACAGAGTTGAGATAAATCACCTTAGATGATATCACTTCTAGAAAAAAAAATCTTTTCCTTATCTCTGAATTGCATTGCCATGTACTGAAAGTTTGCATGTTGAAACCAAAACTAGGTTTGCACCGATTAGCGAATAGGTTGATAACAAATTAATCGGCCTGATATATTCACCCGATTAATCTGTCGCCATTATTTATTTAGCTTTGAAATGCCTATTGAAAGGATAAATTATAGGTAATTCTTATATTATTAATATATCATAATTTATCATTATAATAGAACTGATATTTGGGTTACAGAGTAATGGTGAATCATTATGAAAATAAGCGGCTCAAGAAATAGAAGGGAGTAGACAAACCCATGACCCAAATCCTCTTCTGCAAAGTTAATTTCGAATCATTCAGTGACATGGCTAGAACTATGCCATTTATTAGAAAAGCTTATCGCACACACCCAAGGCTGACATTATTCAAGTTTCCTAGCAGTTTTATGGGGCAAAGCAGCACCTGGAGTAACTTGTCGTCATATACGGGTCATGAGTAGACATAAGCCGCACCTGGGGTAACTTGTCATCATATATGTGTCATAGAGTAGACATAAATTTATAGTAAAATTAAATACAGTTTGCAAAAATTCACATTTTGAAACAAAATTATATTCCTCTTTTCATTGTCCAAAAAAAAATAAATCTAAAATAGTACTAGTAACTATAGTCTGGGCAGTGGGCGGCAAACCACGGCTCCAGAGCCACAGCCGCATGCAGCTCTTTTGACAGAATACATGCAGTTTTTTAATTTTTGCTAATGTGGTTCCCAAAATATTTTCTTGGCAGCTATACTTTATTAAAAAAATGTTGCCAGCCAGCCCTTGGACTAGGACAAACAGTCACTTGCCTGCTTCATTACCAGCCACCTAACACTAAAAAAACTCTGCAGTTTGCCGCAAATGCTGCCCCTCAATATATTGAAAAAAAAAGTGCTGCCTATGGTCAATGGCCAAGCTGCACACCCTTCCAACATCAGTGATTGTGAGCAATCTAACCCTGTGGTTAAAGGAAGAGCAGCATATGACCTAACACGCTAGTGCAGCTTTCACTGCTAGGAAATAACCAAGCAAAAACATCTGAAGAGTTTGTTGCATCATATCAAACTATGGAAGACTTGGGAGCTCAGGAAAAAAAAGAGTAATTTTATATAGGGGGCCGCCATGTCCCGTGTAAACACTGAGGAGATCTCAGGAAAAAAAAAGAATAAATGGATGGGGTTGGTGTCATGTAGGGTAGCACACTTTGTCTTGGAAATACCTTATCTAGTACGTTGAAATCACATTAAACAATATTTTATTGAAATTATCTAAATTTACATCTCATATCTAGAGTAGGCTGATTAGCTGATTAATCTGTCCCAAAAAGCTGATTACAGATTACTCTGTAAAATGGCATATTGGGCCAATTACCGGCACCGATTATCTGCCGATCAATCTGTGCAACCCTAACCAAAAGCCCAAAACCTTTGAAAGGGAAATGTAAAAATACATTTTAAATATCACATTTAATGAAACAAAGCAATGAATCATCAATTTAATTTTAAAATTTTATTATCCTGTCACCATTTTTATGTGCATTATTAGTAGCAAGTTGTGATATATTTTTGGTTTATTTCCTCTTCAGAATCACAAGAGCAGCCATCAACTGATCAGTTACTGGATATCAAAGAAAAAGTTGGTCAAGACTGGAAAGATCTGGGTCGTCGGCTTAATTTTGATGACTCGGTTTTAGAACAAATGCATGAAGAGAATCAAACACTTGATGAACTTATCTATCAAATTTTGCGCAGATGGAAGCAAAGAGAAAATGTAAATGCAACTAGAGAACGACTTGCTCAAGTATTTATGAAACTTGATCGTGGTGATCTGGCAGATATACTGGCAGATGATTGAACAAATGATCAGTTTGGGAACGCCTCAGTATTTATATAACTATAAATAGATTGAGGTGTTCTGACAGATGATTGAAGATATGATATTCATTGATCTCGCCAAAGTTAATGAACCATGATTTTTTTTTCCCTTATCACCATGATGTTCATAGTTCAATTGCTCAGGACATTATGATTATGTCGAGATTGATCTTAGATTATCACTGTCAGCTCTGTGTCAAAGGAATACATGATATTAATTTTGAATTTTGAGATTGGACTATTTTTTTGTTGTTGTTTGTTTGTATCATGAGCTGCCATGTTTTAAGACAAGGAATACTGACCATGGCGTCAATTTGAGTTTTTCTTAATTTTTTTTTTTTTAATTTCAAATATATTTTTTGAAATAGTTTTTTCCCTTGATCACACGATGTAAGGCTGTGATATTCAAGAAACTTTATACTGGAAGAGAGTAGTGGTAAAGTACAGGTAATTGCAAGTTAGCTTAGCCAAATGAAATTGGTGACAGTAAACATTTGGTGCCACATATTTACAATGTGTATATATATCCTAAAAAATATACCAGATCTATTGCTGTTTCTGCTAAGTGATTGGTATTTGTAGTGTGGACTTGTTTTACTGTCATTAAATGATTTTTGAAAGATACATTAAGCTTTTAATTAAACATGTACTTTTTGGTTCTGTAATGGTTACATGTAATCGATCATGAATCTAGAAAAAAGATAATAGGTTTTTGCAGAAATTGTTTATATTGTAATCCAGTTACTATGAAAGCAATATTTTTGAAATTTTATTTATATAGAACTATAAATTATCTTCTTTACCAAGAATAAAAACTATGCAGATATTATTCTATGATTCCATATGTTTCCACATATTTAACTCTGATGATCACATTCTCATTATCTGTATGAATGATCATTTTTATAAACATTTAATTTTCAAAGGTTGATTTCATAAAAATTATATTTTTTCAGACGATCTTTAAATTGTATTGATATTTGCACAATTTCTATCCATACGAATTGAGAAAAAATAATTGATGTCCTCTGTCTTTTTCGTGTTAATTTCTCACTGTAAATTAATATCCAAAACTATTGTCTTAGGTTTAAAAAAACAACATCACTTGACTTGATAGTCTTGTATCACTTGACTTGATAGTCTTGTATCACTTGACTTGATAGTCTTGTATCACTTGACTTGATAGTCTTGTATCACTTGACTTGATAGTCTTGTATCACTTGACTTGATTGTCTTGTATCACTGGACTTGAAATTCTTGTATCACGTGACTTGATAGTCTTGTACCACTTGAATTGAAATTCTTGTATCACTTGACTTGATATTCTAGTATGACTTGGCTTGATATTTTTGTATGACTTGGCTTGATATTTTTGTACAAACATACTGACAAGAATGAAGAAGACTGTTTTGAATTGGCTCATGGTCTTTCAAGTTTATTCAAATTCAAAAGGACAATTTTCTCAATTCTACTTCCTGCATCTGATTGCTGTAACATTTTATGGTGTGTTATTATATGACCTTTTCATAGTAGCCTTTACTATAGTGTATGTCATGAGCAGATGACACATCTGTTGTACCATGTATGGCCTTTACTATAAGTTATCAGCAGATGACACATCTTTTGTACCATGTATGGCCTTTACTGTAAGTTATCAGCAGATGACACATCTGGTGTACCATGTATGACCTTTACTATAAATTGTGAGCAGATGACACATCTGTTGTACCATGTATGACCTTTACTGTAAATTGTAAGCAGATGACACATCTGTTGTTCCATGTATGGCCTTTACTAAAAGTTATCAGCAGATTATATTTTTAGAACCCATTTATTTTTTATGAACTTCTGAATAAAAATATTTGTTTGACATTCAACTGCTATGTCTCTGCTTTTTTTAATGCTACACTTTCACATCTTTAGTCTCAGTGCTACACATCTTTAGTCTCAGTGCTACACATCTTTAGTCTCAGTTCTACACATCTTTAGTCTCAGTGCTATGCATCTTTAGACTCATTGCTACACATCTTTAGTCTCAGTGATACACATCTTTAGTCTCAGTGCTACACATCTTTAGTCTCAGTGCTACACAGCTTAGTTTCAATGCTATATGCTGCACAGCTTTGGTATCAATGCTAAACATCTTTAGTATCAATACTACACACCTTTGGTATCATTGCTACACAACTCAGTCTCAATGCTACACAGCTTTGGTATCAATGCTACTCAGCTTAAGTATCAATGCTACACATCTTTAGTATCAATGCTACACATCTTTAGTATCAATGCTACACAGCTTTAGTCTCAATGTCACACAGCTTAGTATCAGTGCTACACATCTTTAGTCTCAGCTCTACACAGCTTAGTCTCAATAATACACAACTTTAGTATCATTACTAAACATCTTTAGTACCATACTACACAATTTTAGTATCAATGCTACACATCTTTAGTATCAATGCTACACATCTTTAGTATCAATGCTACACAGCTTTAGTCTCAATGTCACACAGCTTAGTCTCAGATCTACACAGCTTAGTCTCAATGCTACACAGCTTAGTCTCAATGCTACACAGCTTAGTATCAATGCTACACAGCTTAGTCTCAATGCTACCCAGCTTAGTCTCAATGCCACACAGCTTAGTATCAATGCTACACAGCTTAGTATCAATGCTACACAGCTTAGTCTCAATGCTACACAGCTTAGTATCAATGCTACACAGCTTAGTATCAATGCTACACAGCTTAGTCTCAATGCTACACAGCTTAGTATCAATGCTACACAGCTTAGTCTCAATGCTACACAGCTTAGTCTCAATGCTACACAGCTTAGTCTCAATGCTACACAGCTTAGTCTCAATGCTACACAGCTTAGTCTCAATGCTACACAGCTGAATCTCAATAATACACACAGCTTACTATCAATGCTACATGGCTTAGTATCAATAATACACAACTTTAGTATCAATACTAAACATCTTTAGTACCATACTACACAATTTTAGTATCAATACTACACATCTTTAGCATCAATGCTACACATCTTTAGCATCAATGCTATATATGCTACACAGCTTTGGTATCCTCAGAATATAAGCGCACCGCTCACGCCCAAAGAAGGCGCGCTGCAAGAAAAAGCAAAATTTTTTTCAAATCCTACTAGGACCCAAAACAATGTGGGCCCCCAGTGTGGGAAACCTCTCCAAACACAAATAGGTCTGGCAGGCCACTTGCGTACTCACGTGTAGTAGACCCTATAGTCTTGGTCGTCTTCGCATGTGAATGGTGAAAAACACCTACTATCAATCCTGCCATATAAATCTATGATTCCAAATTCGATGTGTAAGTTTGAAGCAACCCCAAGAGTGATCAGACTTCGGTAATGTTAATTCATGTGTTAGAATGATATACAATCAACTTTTTGCAGTTTTTTGTATGGGTTTATTACTAACTTAATTTCATCTAGCCTGGCACAAATGACCCACGAATGATTCACCATCTGTATCAGAATTAAATAATTATGAAACAAACATAATTTTTCATTTCCCAGTCGTGATTTTAAACTAAAGGTTGACTCAACTCAAAGCCAGGCAAATTAATAATTTTCCAGTTGGGGGGGGGGTGTTGGGTTGGGCGGATCAGTGTGTCGTTCCTTGACTAAATGCTGCCCTGGGCGAACTCCCAAAAGTGCGCCCTCCTAACACACGCTGATTGATATAATGTGGGGCCTATGCCTATGTATTATTGTTAAGTAAAAACAACGAGGCTATATGAATGGATATAGTGAAACAAAATATGATAAGGCTTGACATGATAAGATAATCACCAGATGACGTTTCGGCTTGACGCCTTCTTCGGCAGATAAGACAAAACAAGATGGAACGAAGAATTAGAAATTAATTTAAAAATTGACAAAATATTAAGATTTAAATTAAGATCAGAAGCTATCTAATCTATTGTGTTTCCAGCATAATCATGCTGGTGAGGAAGGGCTTTAACAATTCCCGCTTAAGCAAACATTACTCTATTACAGTTACTGTCTTCGTGTTGCCTCATATAATATACAAATTAATTTTGTGATACATGCCGCCTACCTGCCTACCCCCTACATTTTTACATACTTACATACTGTTACATAGTCTTCTTCGTCGGTAGTGCAATCGCCTGCAAAAAGTTTAAATAACCTGGCATATTTTATTTTTAATGTAAGCCATTTTTTCTTTCGTTGTTTTGCAAGTATTGACGTAAAGATCCTTGCTGTACATAAATATATGCGATTTCCAAATTAAAATATGGTCTATTGCATCACATACTTACTTTATGCCTTGGTTTTTTGTGACACTTAAACATAGGTTTCTAAAATTATAACGTTTCTATTTGTGGTAATTGGGAAAACCCAATATTTCTTGGAACTTCCTCGACGGAAGCTAGCAGGAGCTAGTAGTGAACTACATGAAACCAAAAGCCGAAAAGAAATAACTTTGTCTTGAATTTGAATTGCCTGAATTGGAAATACTTAAGTGTCTTAATTATTGGCTTGATGCGTTGATTATCAATAATTTGCCTTACATTTACTTAGGTATCTAGGTAATTATTCTTATAGTATTCGTATTATTATTAATTAGTTACTAAAGTGTCTAAAGTTAAGTAAGTATTACTAATGACTAATACCACTACTACTATTAGTATTAGTATTAGTAGTATTAGAATTAGACTGACCAACCTATTTAATACTTACGACACGACTTACTTACATCTTAATAGTAACTAATTAGTATTATATAAGTAGTAATTTTAAGTAGTTTACCTAGCCTATACTGTATACTATATTCTCAGCTGCCAAGTCTGGCTAGGCAAATCTACTCCTAGTCAGCCCAATCCCCTGTCCAAGAACTAGTTGCTACTATTACTATTATTAATATAATATTATAATATAATATTAACTACTGGTATAGATGTGATACAGTAATTCGGTAATATTAACTAGTATTTCATACGAAATAATTTGGGACCGGACTTCGGAGGATTGCCAAAATTAGAATTATTGATAGTAATTTGTTGTTTGTAGGCAAGAAAAGTTTGAATCAGACCAGTGATGACAGTGTAATTCTTGTTCAAGAAGTTTTCTGATCCTCAAATGTTCAACTTCTTCAGGTTGCTAACAGTAGCCTAGATCATATGAAATGTATTTAAGGAAACTGAAACCCAATATTGGTAGACGCAGGCTATCTAAATTTAGAAATTGAGCAAGGTTTCGTTGAGACCATTCTTTAATGGTTGCGGCTATTCGGACCTGGTATCAGAAGTGAGAGGTTGGGTTTATTAAAAAATATTAAAAATATTATTGTTGGGTTTGTAAGGTAAACTTTGGTATTGAATGAAAGATAATTGAATGGACTATATGTTTTTAAACCTAATTCTTCAGTTTAATGGGACCCGGGTCAGGGTCCGAATAGTGGCGATGCGTATCCCGTTCCATTTTGACTAAATGCTATTCGGCTGTCATTTGTGGTAGTTTATTTTAGTTTAACTGAAGAATTAAGTTTACAAACACATATTTATTTTATAGTCCATTCAATTATCTTTTATTCGATACCAAATTTTATCTCACGAACCCAACAATAATCTTTTAAACATTTTTTAATCTCAACCTCTCACTTCTGGTAGCCGGGTCCAAATAGCCACTTTGTTCTTTTATAGTTTTACAGTGTTGTAGGGTGGTAAATACTTTGAGCAGTAAACTATTATTACAGATCAGTTTGTGTGATTTTTTTTTTCCGCCGGGACGGGGATAAATAATGTGGTCAACTTAATAACTTTTTCTATTAGCATGAAAAGTCTTTCCCTTCATTAATTTAAATACAAGAACCATTTCTGTATTACTACAGCTAGCATAATTAACTAAAGAATATGTTTAATGACATCAGAATTGCTAGTACATTCATCACCTGAGTCAATTTTTAGCAAAATTGTGATTGACGCAGTGTAAAAAAAGCAAAAATCGTACCAAAATCTGACTTAACTTAAATAAGTATATGCTTTTTTTTTTTTTTTAAGTTGCACTCTGTCCCAATGTATACATGTTAAAATTTATGTGCAGTGGATCAGTGGAAGGGAGATTATTTATAAAAATGAAGCCTATTATGCAATTCAAACATTGATACTTAAAGGATGAAAAAATTTATAAATTATACTTTTTTCTAATTTTTAATTGGTCTATTTTTCTGTACTGTTTTTCTTGCTGTTGAACATTTTTAATGGACTTTCTTTTACAGGTTTTTATCCTAACAGTGCCAAAAGGCTGGCATGTATGATGTGTTTGTTTGTGTGTAGTGGGTCTTTATAAAACATAAATAAATATATGGTATGGTGGAATATTTGGAATCTATCGTTGTTCATACTTTCTTTTAACGTGTTTTTTTAAAACTCTTTTGTCCACTATTCATAAAATACAGCCAGTTGCGGATTTATCTAGTGGCTTGGCTCTGTTGCTACTCCATTAGACTTCATAGAACTATTTTCATACAGCGGTACATTTTTTTTGAAGGACAAAAAAAGATTTACATTTGATTTAATCAAGATTTATGGTTTGGAGAGCTATCAGATTATAAATTATGTTACAAAAACTAAGTCAAAGATAGGAAATGGAATCTCCTGCTTTTTGCCAGATCTGCAATTATTTTGCTATTGGGAGAACTGTTGACTAATTCTTAGTTTGTTTCTCTTAATTTTTCTGTCTACTTTCAATCAGATAGTAATGTTCATATGAGCTTAAAATGTTCAACCAACTTACATTTAGACCTGATTTTGATGTTTTAATAATCATGTTTATGTGAAATTTTCTTTTCCAGAAGTATAACACCATGTCTGATGACGATATGCCTGAAATTTCATCAACAGAAATAGCACGCCAGGGTGTTAGAAAAATTACTATAGATCCTCGTACTGGAAATCCTGTTCCATCCTTCACTGGTAAAATAAAAATAATAAATTGATTATTATTATTCTTTAATTTAGTTATTGGTGGAATTAATACATGTTGATTAGTCATTCACTTGTCTTTTGGTTTTTAAATATGTTGTCCCTGCAGGTTTTCTTTTTAAGGAAACTTCTCATATTTCCTATTTCCTAAAAATGATGTGGGATCTTTTCTATTTCTCGGGTTCAGATCCTAATAATATTTGCATCTTTTTATTTCGAAGATAAAGATATAACATTGTTCCTTTGTTGACCTTGTCAAACACCATATAGATTCTATTGGTTTAACTCATCAGATTCTTCACACGTCGTTATACACCGAATTAAAAACACAAGTCCTTTTCCATTAGAAATGAAACTTTAAATGTATAAATATATCTAACAGGCTGTACATTTAATTAAAGACATATTTAACACATGTTAAAAATATTCAACTCAAATGTTAAGGCACTTCTTCTCTGTGGCTGTGAAACTTTGAGAACAAAAAAACTGTAGACTTTTATAAACAGATGCTTATGAAGGATCCTCAAAATAACATGGTTTGACAAAATTTGTAGCAATGTCCTTGAGAGCGAACATCAAGTTTTGCAGTGGAAACGGAGATACGAAAGAGAAAATAGAGATAGATAGGGTACACGTTAAGGAAACCAAACAGTAACATCACAAGACAGCCGTGAATTGGAATTCTCAAAGTATCAAGAAAAGAGGAAGACCAAGAGGGGATTAGAGGCACAGGTGAAGAAAAGTTGGGTTGAACTAGCAAAGATAGCCCAAGACAGGGACAGGTGGAAAAGTATTGTGTATGGCTCATGCTCCATTGGGAGTGAGAAAGGCTAAGAAGAAGAAGAAGATAGTGCAGCTTGCTGTAAGAGAGAATAATACACAATCATCTGCTAACAAGGATTTTCGACAACTGCTGACAACTGTTGACGAATAAGCATGTACACCAAAGACAGACTAGACAATACATCATAATTATCATAAAATATTCACCCATTAAAATGCGGGAACTAGTAACTAACTCTCTCCAAACACACCGCATACAATAAAACACATTATTGTGAGCAACAATTATTAGTGAACTCCCATATTCAACATACCTTATTTAAAAAATTATGAAGCTAAGCCACCACCACTTTTCTCATTACTTTGGCCTTGATATTGACAGTACCATATAAATGTGCTCTACCATCCCTTACCCACTCCACCCTTGGTTGTAAAAGGTTGTTTACGTTTGAACGCATTCTATTTATTCTAAATAATGCCATTAGGTGACGCAATTTTTAGAATTTCTGTACTAGATCGTTCTGATTTGGTACCTGTATATAGGGTGCCTGGTTCTTAACAGATAGACAGAAGGAGATTGATAGAGAGAGTGCAAGGGAAATATTTTTGCTAAACAAGACGTTATATTATTTTGTGTGTGTAAATTAATATTTGTATTTTGAGTATTATTTTGAGGAGTGTACCTTTTTCACTTGCTGTTTAAGTTGATCAAGCTTTTTTAGTTTCTGTATTTGAATTAGTATAGAAATTTATTTGTATAATAACATTAAATATTGTCAGTACTGGTATCACAAGCTTTGGTACAGTTTTCTTTGCATAATATTTTTCTCAGTCCATTGTTAGGGTGCATATTTTTTTATTATACGAGCCAAATCTCAACACAAATTAAATCTTCAAATCCATAACGGTGTGTAACAGGAGGCAATGGAAATTTTTAAGTATGACATAAATTGAAATTTATTTTGATATATGCAGCAATAGACTGGAAAATGTTTAAGCACATAAGATTAATAAGTTTTTTTGCAAAACAATTTTTTGAAAGCATATTTTTCCTAACATCTTTTATTGCTACCTCTTTTGTATTGTTATACATCATATACTTTCTTTGTAATAAATAACACATTTTGCTCCCTTATATTCCTTACGTTAGCTGAGACCAGGTTTACTAAGGTCAATATACAGAATGCCCAAAATGTAGTGAACAGAGGAACCCTGAACGTGACTGTAGATAAAAGTGGTGCTAGGAAGAAAAAGGCTGTACTAAACAAGAAACCAGTCACAGGTAAAACTTTTGATCAGATGAAATAATAAACATAATTTTGGGAAGAAGTAGGCCAGAGAGGAATCTTTCACATTCCAGTTTTTGATTTTCATCTGTGAAATCTTTTTATTATTACACTTTCAAGATTTTCAATTTTTGCAGCTGTCTAAGAATTTCACACTCTTATACATGCTAGCCGATGTACTTAAAATACTTTTTTTTTTTATATATATATATATTGTGTCAATTTAAATTGTATAAACTTCCTTTCTTTAAACAGTCACACAAGAACAATACTGGTAACAATCAATTTTATTTATTTTTGGCAGAATCAGGTAGTCGACCAACACAAAATCAACTAATGGACATAAAAGACAGGGTTGGAGCTGACTGGAAAGATATGGGGCGCCGTCTAGAATTTGATGATGCTGTTTTGGAACAAATTCAGCTGGAAAATCATCCTCTTCCCCTCGGTGAAACAATCTATCAAATTTTACGTAAATGGCTGCAACGCGAGAATGAAAGAGCAACCCGTAAACGTTTAGCAGCAGTATTTATGAAATTAGAGCGAGGTGATTTGGCTGACCTTCTTGCTGATGATACAGATGATTGATGATATTAAATAGGTGTGGAGAGATAGTGGGGATTAAAATTGTCTAAAATATACATTAACAGATGTAAGCAAAATCTTGAGCAACTTGTGAATTAATGGTCAACTGATGTCTATGTACCTCCTGGAGTCAAAATACAAGAAGCACTGGTCAGAACAATTGAACATATGTTTTTGTAAGCTGTTGTTAAGAAAATCAAGTTATCAAGGGATTGTTGGGTATATAACTTTACTAAGTGGAAAGCTGTTCCCATTTTGAAATGGCTATGCAATTATTAGGAAAATTTAAAACAATTTTAACCATGGAGTAAAGTTACAATTGATGTACCAGTAGTCTTCAAGTTGCTGAAATAAATAAAAATGGTTGTTTGTTAAAAAGTGATTTGCATATATTTCTTTTTCATGAAATTTTCTTAAAGAGTTGTTTGTGTTATAAATTATTTTAAGTACTGGGTACAGATAGTGAAACATTTTAGTTTAAAATAGATTATTTCAATCAAATTTTTTTGTTTTGTGTAGTTTAAATAGTTTTGTTCAATGCTTCCTTTTCTGCATGTTTTTCATAAATATTTGGTGGGAATTAGCTAACATTTCTGGAGCAACATAATAATAACTAGAAAACCTGACAAACATAGGAGACCGCAATGCGAGAACTTCCTATCTTTTAAAGTTACTGACAAAACATGCTGTTTATTTTGATCGCCTATTGAACACAGCCATACATTCAATAATATCAATAAGTTAGTCTTTTTAACCCTTTCTGTCACAACGGGGTGTAATACACCAAGAAACAGACTTTGATTGCTGATTTCTCGAGTCTCCTTTTAATAATCTTTCTCATAGTCTACCTAATCCACAAGGTAGTAGAAATGAAAACCTGGGTTGCATTGTATAATGCATGCGAAAGTGACTTATTTTTTGGGGCCTCAACTTTTTTTCTACAATCCGTAGCAACTGTGTGTAACACACCCAAACTGTGTATAACACACCCATGCATAATTAAATAGAAGAAAAAAGCCTCTAAAACTGGCTTGGGAACATTTTTTATTGGTTTTTGTTTGTTAATTATTTGAGTCTGTGTAATCCATAAAATAGATTTTAAATTTTGACAATAAATAAATATTCTGAATGGATTTGGGTCCCCGGGGTACCAACAATAATAACATCTGTTCAACTTGACAATCCATTTCAAAGTAGACCTGTCACATGTACACATGGAAAATAGGGGCTTTACAGCTCAGCGTGCACAGTTTTTACATAAAAGAACAGAATGTTCTTTGCAAATATGTCTGATTAATTTGCTGAGTTGAAGTGGTTTGGGCAGCTGTTTGGAGTGTTTGTAAAGATTTCAAAACACTGGTGATGATCTGCCTCACAATATCTTTATGCATTGGGACGAATCGCCTCTATTTGCTGAGGGGTGAGGAAATGTGCAATGTCAATATTGAATGTTTGTTGTCTTTAAGTCTTCATGAGACAGTGAGTTAGTCGCATATTTATATTTAAATCTCACCCTTGCTATAACTGATTGATGCTAAGTCAACAATGTTGAAAAACACAACCAAAAGCCATCTTCTACTTTTAGTTTTTTGTATTCACAGAGAAAACCTTCGCCATTTGGTCCATGGCAAATGTGCCTCCTTTGATTTTGTTGCTATAGAGCACAATCACTGGTTTCTTGCATTCACTTTCACTTTCTATATATGGACGATTGTGTATTGTGTTCAGGAGCAATACAATTTGCTGCTTGGAGCTCTGGTATTTGACAATGTTGTTTCTACATAATCTAGTCTGAAAAAAACCCACTAATTTGTTGAGGGGCAGAGCCTTCTTTTGCTCTAACCCCTTGGTTAGGAACATCTTGTTCTGTTTCACTGTTCTTCTGTCGGGTTAGTCTGTTCTCGGCCAATGGTTCTGCAAGTTGTAAGGGAATGAAATAATAGTCTGTTCTGAAAGTGCGGCCACTTCCAATCCATGGAAGTCCGTCGTGAGAGAAATCATAGTCTCTGGGGATATGCCAAAATTTATCTTTGCTAGCAGGGCACTTGCATTTTCTTTGTCGAGATATTGGCAGCCTCTAAGAGAATAGTTTGAAGACGATTCGCAGGCCCAGAAGATTGTTTGCCATATTTGTCTGGCTTGCTTGGCATACACTGAATAAATCTGCACCGACCTCTTTAAAATGAAACTTGTCCCCTGGTCTTGTCACCAGGCGCCAAACACTCTAGCTACGCCTCTGGATATAAGACCATGGGTGTAACCCACTCAGTTGCTAGGAATAGCCAGAAACACTTTTTCCCATTATAATAAGTGTACGCGTGTGCCACACCCAGTCGTGACGGACAGGGTATACAACATGTTGCGACGGAGAGGGTTAAAATGATGAACAATAGTATAATTTTTTTCTATTAACAAATGTGGAGCATTTATTTCCTTAAATTTAAGAACGCTAATATTAATATTTGTCTGGGACATTTTTCTGTCATTTAAATTATTAATACCAGATAATAGTTAATAGCACAGAATATGTTCCCTAGGAACAGTGGTGTTGTGGTTAGAAACAATAAAATAAATGTACTCAATAAGTACTAGTGTTTCACAAATGTTTTTTTACTAGAAGCCCACTTTTCTTATTTAAAACTCAATGACCTGTGACTACCCTCTCCCCACTTCCACTCTTCACAACTACCGGTAACATTTAAAAAAAAAATTAATCAGAATTTCTTTTACAAAGAAAAAAAAAATCTAGCAATCCATCAGCTGGGAATCACTGTGCTTTTTATCAAGCAACCTATCAGCTGGGAACTGAATTACTGAACTGAACATCAGTAATTTATTTTAACTGACTCAGAATGGTATACAAGAAATGCCACATATTTATTGATATATTTATTTTAAAAAATAACATTAAAAAAAATAATGTTTCATTAATAAATGACCACACACAAAAATATGTAACAAATGCAACTTTTATAAGGAGGGTAGACCCTTTATTAACCAACCATTGTTCTCTTTCTGCCTCGCAATCGTACCTCATCCAACTTGGCAATGACTTCTTTCCAAGCACTTTTATCTTTCATTGTGGTCTGATATGAATTCAATATAATGTCAAATAATTCTTGAGTATTAGGATGAGAGCTTAGAAAAGCTCTCTCAAGTACGTATAGATCTACTCCTTTATCTTCAGCAGAGGCTTCAAATGAGCTGAGTCCAAAGTCTATAAGGACGAGCTTTAGATCATGTGGGTCCCCTTGAAGTAGCATGTTAGACGTCGTAAGGTCACCATGGATAATATTATTAGCATGCATCTTGCTTAATGTTTTGCCAATGACTTCAGCCACTGGTGAAATCAAATCATTTGCATGAGCCCTGTCTTTGTGTTGTTCTTGAATGGTTGCGATGTATTCCCTTACCGTGATGGCATCTTGGATTTCTTGCATGTAAATGCTGCTGTTGTCAAAATTGACCATGAAAATGGTGGGAGTGAGAATTCCTATGGAAGATAGTTGAAATGTACATATAATAATTAAAGGACTGCATTCAAGCTAAGTAAATGAAATAGCAAAACGAGGTATGTTGAAGCCTGAATTAAAAAGACAGGACAAAAAAATTTGAACATTTCGGCATATAGCTTTCTTCAGGGCATAGGACTAATGAAAATATCACAAGGAAAAGAGCACAGTAAACAACTCAAGAAATGTACATTAGCTTCTTGGTAAGAAATAATTTTATTCTCAAAGCCAGAAGTAAAATTTACCCATGCCTAATGAAATAGAAGACTAATTATTGGAATCTGATTGCAATTGGATCATCCAACAGACCAGGTGATTTAAGCAATTTTTAGAGGGAAAGATACCAGTACCATAATTTTATGACAAAATTGTAATTTTCTTTCTTCAAAAATATCCGTTTGAATGTCGTGCCCCCCCCCCCAACTACTCTCCCTTAACACACCCAACCTTGCTTTTTATGACAAAATTGTAATTTTATTAAAAAACACCCCCCCCCCCCCCCGCCCCCAACCCTCCTCTAAATACCCCAAAATTGAAAACCTCAGATTTCTCTGAACCAACAGCTTTTCTGATAAAAATTTTGTAGTAGTCTCCCTTGTTTTACTGAAGTATCTACTCGTAGTATTGTCAAATGATAATAAGAACCTTTTCAGACTATTTATTATTAACTGTAACTCACAATGACAGTATGTCGGCACTTCAGTAAGGCAAGGGAGAATACTTCAAATTTGTATGGGAAATGGGAATCAACGCAGAAGAATCCAAGTTTTTAATTTTTGGACATGAATTTCATGCTTGTTCATTGATGAAAGGACTCCTTTTTTTTTCATAAAATTGAGGTATTGATCCATAAGTTTACAGTAGTGGACATCTTGACCCACATTTCCATCGTAATTTTTTGCCCTTTCAATCGACCCCAATATTAGAAATTCATAGGTATATATAAGGCATCTTTCCCTACAAAATTCTATTAGAAGTTAAAAGTATATGTCTTCATTATTAAATATTCCTCTGCATTTTATATTGATGTATATGTGTGCCAATTCTCATTGTCGTCCATTAGTTATGCTCATCTAAGTACCTGCATTACCATAAGGTCACCCTTTCCCATTTTGACCATGACCCCTTTTTAATGGAGGAAGATGCCAATGCTTATGGAATATTCAATTATTATCACTATTCACATGAAAAATATTTTATTCCCTGTATTTTAGAGTGAATTTAGAAGGCATTTAAACAGGAATCTTTTAATTTGAGGTTTAAAAACCTGGAAGAGTCAATATTATAAATTATCATAAATTGCAGTGTGCAAAACATTGTCATGGGCAACAATTCACAGTCACTAGCATGTACTATACTAGTAAATACTACAATAGTATTATTCTCATAGTTTCATTCATAAGAGTTGCAATGTGCAAACACTATTAAATCATTGGTCTGGGAATGCTTTAATTATTTAGTCATGTGCAAAAGTTGAAAGTTCAAAATAAGTAGTCCCAAACCAGTATTATTTTTAGGGAGATGCCTTGCCTCATATATTTATATATAAATGCATGCCTTAGACTTAGTAAACAGAAAATCCATATTGTATTTAGGGGTCGTTCGCAAATTATGGCACGCTCAGGAGGGAGGATGAGAATTTGTGGGGGTGGGGGTGGGGGGGGGGGGTTAAAATGGGGGGGGGGGGGGGGGGGGGGGGGGGGGGGGGTGGGGGGTTAAAAATGTGTGATGTCACAAATTTTTTTCTTACAATTTTGAAAAATCTTTATTCAATTAATTTTAAAAACATTAATTTGAAAAATGACACAAAAACTGTCGTGGCCATTTTACATTCGGCTTGGGGAGGACTTCATTGTTTCCCGTCACAGTTTTCTAATAATACTATTACATCTTAAACCATTATGGGAAAATGTTAAAGCATAAAATAAAATCTTAGCTCAGTTATGAAAATTTTATGTACCGGTATGTTTTGAATATTTTTAATTGCGACGTGACACTGGGGGGGGGGGGGGTGGTTAAGGAATTTGAGACCCTTTGGGCCGGGGGGGGGGGGTTTAAAAGGGCCATTTTTTGCGGGACCTAATTTGCAAAAGACCCCTTATTAAATTTAATGATAATAATAGTTCGCTAGTTAAGTTAAAATGTATTTATAATTATAGTGTTAAAAGTTTAATATTAGAACTTTTAATATGTGGCATTATATGCAGAGTCCATAGCATGTGACTCGATCAGTGACATTGGGTCATCAAATGTGGAGGTGCTGTCCATAATAAAAAAATTACAAACAAACAAAAAACTCATAGCTCAAAAAGTACTTAAGAAAGTTGATTCTGGTTTTATTTTCTTTCATTTGAAGTTATATCAATTATTACAATTGTAATATTTTTATCATTTAAAAAAAATAATTAAAATAACTATTAGTAAATGTATGACTTTGAATTTTATTATATAACTGCTGTAGACTAGACAGAAACACAGCCTTACTTTAACTTACTAAGGCCTAGACTAGGCCTAAGGCCAAGGTAAGTAATGTAGTCATACTAAGTGTAGTTTGTAACTCACTACTGTGAACTCGACATCGGTTGAAAGCTTCAAGGCTGCCCTGGCAGGCCTATATATGTGCTATTCTCATACTGGATTCTGTTTCAGAGTTGGACTCAGAGTATTTAAGTGGATGAATGAAATACCAAAGTACAAAACAAGTTTTAATCACAACATTTTTTTCATTATTACTACCTACATACCAGCCATTCTGCACCTTAAGTTTGCTCTCACTTCTGCCTTAAGTCTCTGGCTAGTAAGAGAAACATCTAATGTTGGGTGTCGATAACTCTTTTTAAACCGTTCTTTGATTATACAAGGTCGGCCATAAAAATCGTAAGAGTAGAGTTTTGCTTCAGCTCCTTGCTTTAACAAAACAGAGTCCATTCTTTTTTATTATTTGTTGTATATCCATAGTTATTTCCCTTACAATTAGGGGAGACTCAGGTGAATTGTTTTGACAGGGTTAGAAGCAGATAGTCTGCATTTAATTTTAAAACTTTCTGTTAATTATATTATTAGTTAAAAATCAATTCTTTCATTTTTTTTCAATGGGATAAATATCTGAGTAAGATCTATAATTATAAAATAACACTCTTTCGGAGGAACCTTCAAATTTTATTTTTAGATATTGATGACTCCCTGGAACTTCTCGCCGAAACATTACATGGCTACATAGAAAAATGCTTTTTTTTCTGAAATTGGTCAATAAAACATTTTAATATTGATTTTCAACTTAAATTTTCAAACTATATTAATCCAAGTTGCTTGAATTATCTCCATCCATGTGGCACTACAACCCATGTAGGGCTTTGGCATGCCTCACTACATCTACTTCCTAACTTCCACTCAGACCTAATTAATGCTTTTGCCTTTGCTGTTGTAGTGTAGATTTTTTCCACGGTCCACATCATCCATCCATCTAAGCCTAGGTCTGCCTTTGAACCGTTTTCCTCTGGGGTTTTGGTGATATAGTAGTTACCATCCTAGTGTCTCTGGTCTCTTTTCATTTTTATTTTACTTAGTTTACATGTTTTTAATAATTGTAAAGCGCTTAGAGCTTTAAGGTAAGCGCTATATAAAAATGCCTAAATAAATAAATATACCCTTTTCAGTCCTCTGTCATTTGGCATTCTCTCTAACCTGATCAACTGCCTAAAACCTAACATCATACTGGGCACAGAAACATGGCTGAATCCCTCGATAGCCAACGCAGAGGTTATAACGGATAATTATAAATTATTCCGTCGAGACAGAAAAGACAGAGGAGGAGGAGTAGACTACTTGTTGCTGTCCATCACAACCTGGACTGCCACGCTGTTCCAGAACTAGAGGTTGATGACTGCGAGCTCCTGTGGTTGAAAGTAAAACTGAAGGGTAGACGCACACTTTACGTTTGTGCCTATTACATACCCAACACAGCAGATGAACCAAGCCTGAGGAGGCTCGGGGTATCGCTTCAGAGAGCAACACAGTCGAAGAACGCTTTTCTCCTTATAGTGGGGGGGGGGGGCGGGGATTTTAACTTTCCTGGTTGGAACTGGCAGATTCCTGCCTTGAAGCCCAAGTCCCCATACCCTGTACTACACTCAGAATTCATGGAAATGATTAACAACCTTGGTCTGGAACAGCTGGTTAAAGAACCCACGAGAAAGAAACACTCTTGACCTACTCCTCACCAACTGTCCTCATCGCATACCAAAAGTTGAGGTCATCCTCGGGATATCAGACCACTGCATACTATATTGTGAATTTCAGGTCAACGCACTAAAAAAGAAAAAGGTCATACGAGAAATCCCAATTTATGCCAAGGCAGACTGGGATGGCATGAGGAGTGCAACGACAGAGCTGAGCTGAAACATGCAAGAGATTCAGGGTACAGCGGCAACAGAAGAGCTGTGGGTGAAGTTTAAGACAACAATCACTAATGCAGTAAATAAATTCATCCGTAGGCTCAGCCACAGGAGAGACCGCCAATACAAGCGATTGAAGAAAAAAAATGTCTAGGTTGAACTGAGGGAGGAGGTAATGAGGCTCCGCGGAACCATCCAACGCTTATTGCGCAGATCTTATTTGAACTACCGTACCTGAACGGCATCTTCTCAGAGGAAGACACCTCGACCAAAGGTGTCAAGAACAAGCGCTTCTGGAGCTATGTGAAGCACCAAAAGTCCTCAAACGTTGGAGTTTCCCCCCTGAGGTGGGATGGCCATTTGACATCTGACCCAAAAGCACAGGCTGAAATACTCATCAGCAGTTCCAGTCGATCTTTTGTGACGGTAGAGAGTACTCGGAGGCTGAGTTCCTTCTGAATACCAACATGATGTACAGAGCCTAACCCGTCATGGGAGATATCCAGATATCAGAACAGGGTGTGCTTGCCCTTCTCCAAAACATTAACCCCTACAAAGCATGTAGCCCTGAGAACATTAAACCCCGAATGCTCAAAGATTAGCCAAAGAAATCGCTCCTGCACTAACAATCCTCTTCCAATCGTCGCTGTGCCCAGGCAATGTTCCTGCAGACTGGAGAACAGCGCATGTCACTCCAATCTACGAGAAAGGAGAGCATTCCGACCCTGCCAACTATTGTCCAATATCCCTCACCACCGTGGTATGCAAACCGTTTGAGCACATAATCGTAAGCACAGTCATGATAGCATCCTGAAGCCAAAATATACTCAATGACTGTCAACATGGCTTTCGAGTCAATAGATCATGTGAGACCCAGCTTCTTGAATTTGTAGAATAATTGATGACCAATCTGGAGAACAGCAAGCAAACTGATGTGCTGGTGATGGACTTCTCAAAGGCATTTGACCGTGTCAATCATAGTTTGTTTCTACACAAACTTCAGAGATATGGAATCCAAGGCACTACTAAAACATGGATCTCTAGCTTCCTCAGCAACCGATGCCAAGCAGTAGTGGTGGACGGTACAAGCTCCTCCTTTGTCGGTGTGAAGTCAGGGGTCCCCCAGGGATCCGTGTTAGGCCCCTGCTTGTTCATAGATATATTAATGACCTACCCGAGAAACTGACATCACAAGCAAGACTATTCGCAGATGACAAAACGGTGTATAGGACGATCGCCAACAAACCTGACCAGGACCAGCTACAACAGGATCTCAATCGGTTAGCTGAGTGGGAGATGAGCTGGGACATGGAATTTCACCCTGCCAAGTGCCAGACACTGTCAGTCTCTAGAAGTTGTACCCCTCTACACTACCAATACGAACTGCATGGCCATATACTTGAGTCAGTTTCCTCCGTAAAGTACCTGGGTGTTACCATTCAAAGAGAGGTCCGCTGGGACGAGCATGTTAACAATGTGTGCAACCAGGCAAACAAGGCCCTGGGGTTCATAAGGCGTAACCTAAAGATTGGCAACTCCTGTGTGAAAGAAAGAGCCTATAAAGCCTTTGTCCTTCCGGTTTTAGATTATGCATCTTCAGTCTAGGACCCATTTACCCAGAATAGCCTAGACATGTTGGAGGCGGCCCAGCGACAGGCAACACGCTTTGTCCTGAACTGCTACAGGAACACCTCTAGTTTTGGCAGCATGCTGGAAACACTAGGCTGGTCACCATTGGAGGACGAAGACGACTATCCAGGCTATCCATGATGTACAAGATAAACATGCGTTGATCCACTGCTCCAGGATTAAACCAAAACTCGTCCCTCTCCCCCATAGACAGCGATGAGGCCATGATAGGCTATTCTGGCTCATACCAGCGAGAAGCCAGTATAGGAGCTGCTCATTCCTGCCAAAGACAATGAGGGACTGGAACAAGCTTTCAAAAGGAACAGTTGAGGCGACAACACTTGACACATTTGCGTCTATTACCTCAGGCCTTGCAACCACCCCCACCCCCCTCCTTTCCGCATGATGCCCTCACAAAGTGGCCCTTGCAACCAGCGAAATATCCTTATCAACACCAGGCACAGAAACATTGCAAATCCCATCTACATGCATAGGAGCCAAAATGATCAATAAATTGATCGTGGGCCCTTAATATATAGAAGATGAAGAAGTGATACGCCCAGCGTAGCCTACATATTTTTAAACAATTATTTCTACTACTATCGTGGAACCTGATACATACTTTACTATAAGGGTCGAATAAGTTTTATACTCAAATCTAAATTTGTTTAACTTTGAAGTTTCTAATACAGGTCAATGACAATGGGAAGGCTCCATAATTTGATTTCTGTTGGGCTGTCAAATTTTATGAGTGGGGGAGTGCAACTATTTTATGACCAATCAATCGTTATTTCACACGCTTGTATATTCTTCATTTCTATGTCTATTTTAAAGGTTAATATTTTAAACTTTGAGATACAAATCCCAATCTCTTACAAACATTTTCATAAAATAAAATCTTCGACAAAAGAGTACCCCGTCTCTTTTTATAATCTAATTTAGTTTTACCGAAAAGATGACATTAAAAAGGTCATAAGCCAGATTTCTTCAAATTTTGCATTGCACTGTTACCCAATATTATTATCAGTTACTGTAATCAGATAGCTGCATCAAATAAGCAGCGTTATTTTAAAATGTATTCAGGTATTCTATAAAATAGAACAAACTTTATTATACTAACCACATAACTGATTTTCTTTTTATTCAATAGCTATTGCTTAAATAATATCTCTTCTCAGCTACTCGATTGAAAAGAGTTTAAGAAAGACACACATTTTCTTAAAGGAATGTTTAAATAATTTTATTAAAAAATGCAAAGAACTTATGCAATAAAAACTTGAAGTTCCGTTATTTTTAAGAAAAGAACGCCATTCTGGTATTTTATATTTTTATGACATAGTGGTTTAAACTGCTGTACTACATGGATAATTGAAAATAAACAACATGGTGGACACGTTGCGGATGTGAACGTTTTCTCAATTTGTATTGAATATTTTTAAAGAGAAAAAAAAACTCGGGCATTTATTAAAGCAATGGCTAATCATTCTACTAAAAAATCCTCTAAAACCACCGTCGAAGATGCACATGCTGGTCAATCGCTGCTGTCTAAAGCATTTACTCCAGAATTCCAATGGACAGATAAAGTAGTAATTTTTAATTATTAATATTAATAGTAATACTAGTAATAAGTAATAGTAACTAATTTTTCTTTAGGTTTTTTGGACTAACTATAAGAATTGGGTAGTAATATATAAATCAATCACTGCAGCTCTACAGTCCATGTAAGGCTAAGGCCTGCCTCACACTCACAACTTCTTTCCACTCACACAACAGTAACTGATACCTACACGACTACGAAGCTAACTTATACTTATACTTTTGTTTTTTCATGCTTGGATTCCAGCTGCTACTCTCAACACTGTAGATGATCATTTTACACATCATCTAAGCCTATTTATTTTGAGTCATTTTCCTCTGGGGTTTGGTAAAGCAATGGAGACTACAAACATTTTTATATGGGAAATGGGCGTTGGGGCAGGAAAATACGAGTTTGAATTTTTTTATATTGGTGGGTGCTCATTTATAAAAATTATTTTATTATATCCCACATGAGGAGATGCTGATTTCCCATTGAGCGCCTCCCCAGGTGGCAGATAGGGGAAAGCCCACCAGATATAGCGGGTACCGGGGAAATAAAATACAAGAGGAGGACTGAAATCAGTACCTATGCTACTGCCTTGTGGGAAGTGGGGGGATCCACAAAGGCCAGGGACCTGACCCAATTCATAGGCAGGTACCGTGAGAGCTGCGTCCCCCAGATGGTTGTGCGCAGGGCTCCTGTCACGTAAAAATTAAATGTTACAAAAGCTAAGCCTCATACACAAGTAGACATAGAAGAGTTGGAAAAAGAAAGAGATGTAAGGAGAATGTAACTGAAGATAAAACAGGAAAAGAACGACTTTCAAGCAATATCTAACATGTGCAAAAGTATGGGTGGAGAACTGATCACAGAGCGCAGTAGGATATTAGAGAGATGGGCACAACACTTTGAATGGATGCTAAATGGCTAAAGTGCTGGGTGGCCAAGTGGTCTAAACTGTCTACAACCAAATAGCTGGTTATCTGAAGTTCAATCCCCACCAAAGTCAACATCCCAAGAACCCTGGGTGGATGGGACTTGTAAGCCTTGGATGGCAACCCATCTAAGATAAGACAAACTCTGAATTTAAACCAGGAGCCAGAATGATCAACAAATGTTTTGATCGTGGGCCCCTTAAAGTATAAGAGTAAGAAATGACTCAGGTGGAGATGCCAATGAGGATTAAGATCTATCACAAGTTCCATTGGTCAACCAAAACTGAATGAAATGAAAGATGTGATATTTACCATTAAAAAATTACAAAACAGCAGGAATAGACCTTATCTGTGCAGACCTGAATTAAACTAGGTGGAAACAAACTGCATAGCCAAATACATAACCTCCTATCCAGAATCTGGCAGGAGGAAGAAATGCAAATAGAATGGAACACTGCACTCATAATGCCAAATCACTAAAAAAGGATCTAAGTTGGTGTGCTCAAACTATAATAATTGAAGGCCTGCATCCAAGCTATTTGAATGAATTAGTAGAACAAGATATTTTGAAGCGTGAATCAAAAGACAGAAAACGGAAGTCCACCTGGACACCACCCTCGAAACAATAGAAAAATGTCAATTTCTACATTAGTAGTTAGTAGTACTAATCATGATCTCAATAATCTCTTTCTCCCTAAACTTCACCATGCCAACCTTTCTAAACAGGAATCTCAAGTGCTCTCTGCGTTACGTAAACGTAACGACATTGTGATAAAATGTGCTGATAAAGGTGGTGCTGTCGTAGTTGGAGATAAAAACTTATACATTAAATAGCCGAATGAACAATTAAAGGATAAAAGATTCTATAAGCCTATCAAGAATAACCCTGTTCACAATAATGAAATTGTGCATCAAACAATAAACAACTCATTGACAAATCAGCAGTTCCAAAATCCGCCTCTACAGTACACATTTTTAATAGTGACCTTGTCAAACCTTCCTTCTATTTGCCTAAGATTCACAAAGCGGGCAACCGGGGATGACCTATTGTCTCAGCCTGCGCTGATCCACTGAACACATTTCAGAATTTCTAGATGGGGATTTTCAGCACTTTGTTACCTCTTTACCCACTTACATTAAAGACACCAACCACGCTTAAAAACATTTAATTTCTTAAACATTATCACTGATACAAAACATTGTTTTCACTTGATGTCTGCTTCTTATATTTATACACATCAATTTCACATGCTGACGATCTTAGGGCTTTTAGATTTTTCCTTGAAAATATAATACACTCCTCTATCCCTGCTGACACTATTACCAGTTTGGCTGAACTGGTACCAATCCTCAATTACTTTGAATTTAATGGGCATTTCTTTGACCAAATTAGTGGCATAGCCATGGGCACAAAAATGACAAAGATACCTCAAAATAAACAATCCAAAAAGCGAATTCAGCTAACAACTTTATTACTTATATGACGAAACATGCATTTTGTCTGTTAAACATCACTATATTGGAAATTGCCTTTTATTATCAAGTCATGGGCAAAGATTATCATGAGTGTGAATGATAAATAAAAAAAATCTTAAATATGGTAATCTATAAACTTTATTTATTTAAAGATTTAATCTTTTAAAAGATCCATTTCAAGTAAGAGGATCAGGGTTAGAATAAGCGTTTATTATCCACTTGTGTACCAGTAATTAACAGTAGAAAAATTGAGGAAATTTAAAAAAAATTAAAATTGTTAGACATTCAAATCAAAATTATTGGTTCCCTCTAGTGATTTAAAAAATATTTATGGCCTCTAGACAAGAAGATTGATTTTGTTAACTATGTCCCAATAGTCATTTCCCTTTCTTAAATCAAATTCTGTCAATTTATTTGGCAGTGTTAGTGTAGGTGTATGTCACTGAAATGTGAATTTCAAATATTGCAAAATCCACAGCCTATCCTATATATTGTAGGCCTACCCTTATAGTGTAAAGCTTTTTAACAAACTTTTGAAACTTTTTGCTTATATTTATATATTTTCAGGATGAATTTTTGGATGTCATTTATTGGATCAGGCAAATTTTAGGTCTTATGCTGGGGCTTGTTTGGGGAATAATTCCTTTAAAAGGATTCATCGGCCTAGCTTTGTAAGTTTTTCCATAATGCATTTTTATCAACCAAGATTTGAGTTTGGACAATATTGAATAAGCTAATGTGATATCGATCTCATATTAACTCAGGCTTGATTTCATTCAAGTTGGAGTACACCCATGAAACCTATTCATAGTTCTATTCTATCCTGATACAGATTAGATAGTACTGGTTTGCATTTACCTTTTCTTTTCACTACTCCTACCCTAGCTTTTCATTCCTTACAAAAACTATGTTATTTCCTAAAAAATGTAATTAAAAGGCACATGGGAGATGAGAGTGTCCTCATTTAATGTTAAAGCCTCTTCATCAGAGGGTCAGGAGTCAAATGCATTTATTTTTACATTTATTTTTTTATCTTTGTTATGAAAACGATTATCCCTTTCTGATATAACAAAACAATGTTGGAATTTAATAATTCTAAACAAAAGCATACAAAATTGTATTCAATTAAATAAACAATTTTTGATTTTAAAAAAACAACTTTGCATTTAAAAATTAAGTTGCCGATCAAAATTGAAAAATATGGACTAACCAATGTCCATTCTGATAAAACTTTTTCAGTCTTTGCCATCTGTAATGATAAAACCTAAATTGAATATATTTTCTATTTGTCTATATAATTGCTATCCACCGGAGAAGAGAGATAATAGTTCATCTTTTTTTTAGAAATGTCTTTTGAGAAAGTGCATTTTGTTAAAAATTAATGAAAAGAAATTCACCCAGTGCAGCATGTGGTTTTATATGGCTGCTTTGCTGGTACTAGAATAGCTATAATATTATTAAGGCAGCTAAATCTGATAATTGGTTCAATGAGGATTTTTAAAACCGATACCTTGATGCTAAAAAATCCCCACAATATTAACATTCCTAATGAGATTAAAACTTGAAATATTATATTTCTGCAGATTTCTTCTTGTCAATGTTGCCATAGTGTACATTTATTACAATAGTTTCCAAAAAGTTGACGAGGAGGAATATGGAGGTGCTTCTGAGATTTTGAAAGAGGGCCTCATGACATCATTCTCATCATTCTTGGTAACTTTACTATATTCTCACTTTAATTCTTTATTGATTCTTTAAAGGATAATAAATGGCTTAAAATAGCTGTTTTTCAGTACGGTACTGAAATAAGTAGGGCACAGGCAGACTGTATCACGAGTCTCAAACTCGCAGGCCAGATGTGGCTCTCCAAGCTGTATCCTGTGGCCTGCAAAATGATGTGTGATTCACACAGTAATAAATGTAAGCACTTAATATTGAGTGGTTGTTAAGCAGCCCTAAGAGCACACAATTATTCTCAGTCTAGTAGTGGGAGTGTTAGTTTTTATCACAAACTTGAAACAGCTAAAGCAATAAATGGCAGTTTTAAAATCTTTTTTTGAAAATATCTTAATGAACTTTAAAAAAAATATAATTAACCATTACATTATTATGTGTATGATTGATTAAAGGTGAAGATTTTAAATAAAATTGCATGGACTTTATGTGTCCTTCAGGTTGCTTGGATCATTTTGTACTCGGCGTTACATTCTGAGACTGGGTCATAGCCAATATGTGAGGCAGCAATCTAACTACAGGCAGTCTCTGTGACATTTACTCAAGAGATTCTCATACAAGGGTTTTTGCAGATAGAGATTCACTTATTTGAACTGTTAATTTTTGTTAAAAATTCAAAAGAAAATGGCAAATAATACTTTTTTTTTCCAACTAATTCAAACTCTTTAAAAAAATACAATTAATATGTTCTATAATTGATAGTCATAGTGGCATGAAAAATAGTAACAATAGTTACATTATTATTTCATTCAAAACGTTTAAAGGACTGAAAAAAAAATTAAAACTATTTAGCGAGTTGAATGCATGATTTTTCCTTACTCTGAAAATTAGAAAATAAATTAAAATATTAGTTGTTGGAGCCACTTAATAAATTAACCAGCACAGTCAAAGGAATTTCATTTGTATAATTTATGCATATGTTCCTTTTGTGACTTTTCAGTTTGATTGGAGATTAGTTCCAAGTGTTACACACAGAGCAATAGCACTTTGGTTGATTTTATTTATTTTGTAATTGGTTTGTAATATTGTTGTTTATTTATTTTTTAAAAGTTTTGTCAAAAATGCTTTTTTTTTTACAACAAAATTATAGTTAAATGTACATTTTTTATTTTAGAGTGTACTAAAATGCAGTGATCATTTCTATATCTAACCATTTTGACTCTTGGAGCATATGTAATCAAAATTAGTAGATTTTACTTAATATTGGGTAGACCATTGATTTATCATGTTGTATCAAACTAAATGCTTGCTTATGACATTTTAAAACAATTTTCAGATAATTTCTGGTTTAAAATTCTAGTCTATCCTTACCAGCTTTTCAGTATATGCCCTAACAAAAGCCTTGGCCGATTGCATCATTATATTGCCTTGCCCCTTTAAGAGCAATTGATTGTGTGACATGCCCATTTTTTAAATACACATCTTAGTCTAGTCTGCTGCTGTATGTTTATCATTTTATTTAACTTTTCAATTTGAATAAATTGGATTAATAAACTTATGGAGGTACATTAGCTACTTACTTCGTTCAAGGTACAATTTTACACAAACATAAGACTACTAGGAATGGTAAAATAGAATAAAGTAAAACTTTTGTACAATAGTAATCTTTGCCAACATACCCTTTGATAATAAATTGTTAGACTAATGTGTTTCATAACTTTTATTTTATGTAGGTTACATCATGACTGTTTACTGCATTTAAATCTTTGGCTAGACTGATATGTTTGTGTATATGAGTTGTGAAGATTAAATAAATGGAACATTATTTATACAAATTACATAGCATCCTGGCCTAAATTTGTCTAGTTTAAACTAGTTTTATTATTTTATTTTGTTTGTCAATCCTTGTATGTGTGTTACAGAAATTAATCTGCAGGAACTAAACAAAAAGTAAGATCTTTAAGCAAATTGTAATCTTTATTGATAAAATATGTTGTTAAATAAAATTTGTAAAAGAAGGATTTTTTTTCAAGAAAACACTGAAATTGCAATTATTTATTATTTGTAATTTCTTTTTAAAACCAGATTAGTTTTAAGTCGATTATACCATTGAAATTGTCACATACTTACTCTATGAACAAGTTGATGGGGGTTATGGCCCACCGCTTGTAAACCAGATGTCGAGCATAATTCACTTTAAATTAAAGTCAGGTTTTTAGCGTAGTGTCATAAGTTCATTAAAATCCTGCAGCCAACATCACCCACAAGGCATGAAACATATTGATATTAATGTTGTGGGTTTGTCCAGCTTCACCTTGTGAATGGTTGTTGATGATGTCATCATTTTTAAGTCTGTCAATCCACCCATAAATGATATGGTTTAAAGATGTCTTTCCACTACAGTTTCAAATGAACATTGTGATGAAGTATGTCAAAATGGTGTTTATTTTAGCCAGGGTAATAGTATGTCAGTATTCCTGTCAGACTTGGTGAACCCAGCCATTCTTCAAAGTGTTCTCTTTAGTGCAAAGATGTTACACTATATAGGCAACCACTCTTGTGTGGGAATATCCAAAATTATATCCATGTCTGGTGTGCATCTGGGGAAATAGAAGTTGAAAGGGTTCAACACATTGGAAAAGAAATGCATGAGAAGGGTTGTTGATATCTTTTTTAATTTTAATAGACTTCGGCAGTTAAAAAATCAATTATGTTTCAAGATGAAAAACTTCTTTACTGAATTCAAATAGATCTAATACAAATACAATGCAAGTAAATGAGTTTGGGCTTGAAAATAACAGACAGTCAAGTAGAATGTTTTGGCTAGATGCCTTTTTCAGCTGACAATACAATAATAAACAACAGATCAATTGAAATAAAAAAAAAAGTAAGGTTTTGAAGGTCTCAGAAAAGTCAATGTTGAGAACAGGAAGTGCTCTATGTTAGTGTCAGAAACTGAAGTTGAATTACTTGAGACCAAAACGTGCAACCCATATTATTATGTGATCCTTGCTATTACTAATTACGGTAAAAGAATTTAAGTATTATTGATGTAAAATTTAAAACACCAAAAATTGTGAACAGAGATGGAGGGAAACACAGGATCACTAGTAAGTGGGATTTTGATTGATTCTATATGGTGATTTGTCAGTCTTTAACCTTAGGAGACTTCAAGCTAAAACCAAGGTCAAAACATAACACCATCAACGAGCTTCTGTTTGCAGACGATTTTGCCCTAAATGCTGCCTCAGAAGCCGTCATGCAACACAGCCTTGATGTCTTCTTGGAGGCCAGCAATAACTTTGGCCTCACAATCAACACAAAGAAGACTCAGGTGATGTATCAGCCAATTCCCAGTAAGCCCTATGTTGAACCCAACATCATCATCAGCAGACAGCATCTCATCGCGATGGATAAATTTACTTACTTAGGCAGCACTCTCTCCAGATCTGTCATCATGGATGATGAAATGAATGCCAGACTTGCAAAAGCTAGTTCCATATTTGGCAGGTCCCAGCCTATAGCGCAGCATTCCTCTCGACATTGCTCTACAGATATGAAACGTGGGCAGTCGTCCAGCGTAACTCCAAGAAACTAAAACATTTTCTCACAACCTGCCTCAGGAAACTCCTCAGCATCAGGTGGCAAGACAAAGTTCCTAACAAGGAGGTCCTTGCTAGAGCAAACCTACCTAGTTTCTTCACCACCCTGATGCAATCTCAACTCTGTTGGATGGGACACGTAGCCAGTATGGAAGACCACCGGCTCCCACAACAGATATTCTTCAGAGGACTCATGATTGGCAAGCGCTCCAAGAAGGTAAAAAAAAAGCGTTAAAAAGACTCACTGAAAGTGGCACTAAAGGCCTTCAGCATCAACCTTACTCAATGGGTGCAGACAGCCCAAGACAGAGCCAGGTGGAGAGCAGCTGTCAAGAAGGGGGCTAAATCTCATGAAGCCAGTAGGATAACCACAGCTGAGACACGCAGACTGGCCCGAAAGAGAAACATTAGATCACTAACTGCAGCAATTACCACCCCCCCCATGGTGCCAGAGATTATTCCGAGCACGGATCAGACTAGCAAGCCACCTACGAGCTCACCAAAACCCACTCTCCCTCCTAACCGGATGACTCGATGGTCCTAGTTGATTTTGACGGACGAACAACAATGGTGATTTGTGCAGAAAATCACAATTAATTTGTTTTCATTCTCCATGGTGTATTGGTGCAGTAAATACCATTGGTACCATTCAAAGAGAGGTCAGCTGGGACCAGCACATTAACAGTGTGTGCAACCGGGCAAACAAGACCCTGGGGTTCCTAAGGTGCAATCTGAAGATTGGCAACTCAAGCGTGAAAGAAAAAGCCTATAAAGCCTTTGTCAGGCCTATTTTAGAGTACGCTTCTACGTCTGGGACCCATTTACCCAGAAAAGCATCGACAGGTTGGAGGCGGTCCAGTGACAGGCAGCACGCTTTGTCATGAACCGCTACAGAAACACCTCAAGTGTTGGCAGCATGCTAAAAACACTGGGCTGGTCAACATTGGAAGAACGACGACGACTATCCAGGGTCTCCATGTTTTACAAGATAAAAAATGGGCTGGTCCACTGCTCCGGAATCAAACAGAAACTCGTTCATCTTCCCCCTAGACAGCGACGAGGCCACAACAGACAATTCCGGCTGGTAAAAACAAGAACAAAGTACAGGAGCTCCTCATTCCTGCCGAAGACAATAGGGGACTGGAACAAGCTTCCAAAAGCAACAGTTGAGGCGCCTACACTCGACACATTTGTGTCTACTGCCTCCTGTATTGCAACTCCCAGTTCGTAACACCACTGCTGAGTCGCCCTTGCAACCAGTGAAGTATCCCCTTGAAACCCATGCACAGTAACATCGCAAACCCCTCTGAAACATAGGAGCCAGAATGATCAATTCATTGATCGTGGGCCCTCAAAATAAAGAAGAAGAAATAAGAGCCATAATGCAGTGCTGTTCAACCCGCTGCCTGGGAGCTGATTTTCAATAGCCCACCACAGCTTGAGCTTTTATGTGTGTAAAAGATAAAACATTTTAGGGTCAACATATTTTCAAAGGATATTCATTGATTTAATATTTTTGGCAAATCATGTGAGAGTACAGAAGTTGTAACATGAAAAAGGTTGAGGGCACAAAAGCTAAGGAGTGGTATGGCTTGACGGTTAGCAGTAATTTATATTAAGCACATCAGCAGAGCAACCATTTGGGAACCTTGGTGACATAAAATCGGATACTATCTTCTTGTTCTTTCTGTTGCTTGTGCAGAGGGACATCACAGGGTGTCAGGTATAATAGGGATTAATAGGGAAAGTAAACTTAACTTGGTGTATTGTAAAAATATCCATGCCCTCACTAATGGGACCAAGTTAAATGAAAAAGATAGGTGAGCACCGGGACGTAAGTACTGAGCTTTGTGGGATGATAATAATAAATACAGGAAAGTATTTGGGTCAGAGTAATCGAGATGGGAGCTGCTGTACTAAAGGTGTCACAAGTGAATGACAACGGTGGGCAGTGTGAACCATTAATGGTACCATGTTTTTTAATCAGATGGTCTAGCCAGGTAGGGGAGTGTGTCAAACCTGAATTATTGTTATGTTGAGACATGTGCCTCGTATTCAGAGATTGGAGTATGAGATGTTCAATGAGTAGAAAGCACGATAAAAACTGTGTTTGTTTTTAGTTACGGCTATTCAGTCAGGGAGGAATTGTGAGAGACAGTGAGAAAGTACATTTTTTAAATACAAACATAAGAATGCTTGGGTAAATTAATTCTGGATGACATATTTTTCTTCAAGTCCAAAAAATTTACCACCCGTTGACTGGTGAACATTTATGGTAGGTGCTATTTATGACTACCTCAAATTAAAAAAATTACAAATACAATTCAAAGCAAAATATATCATTAAAAGGGGCTGCAGTTTTTATTAGCTTTATTCTTCATGAGCTGATAATGATATGGATATATGACTCTTTATGCATAAGGTACCGGTAAGAAAAAGTTTAATATGAATTATCTTCTAAAAAGTAAAAAAAAATATTTAAAAAAAGGTTGGCCAGCATCACCGTAATGGATGCATCTGATGTGCCTTTGTGTTTGCCTCCGTTAAAGTGGGATTAGATTGGGGATGGCTTGTTTAGTTCAAATAATCTGAAGATGTTCACTGAAACTATCACACTTAATATAACAGAAGTGACATCTTTGACAAAAAATTACATAGATCACATTTCAATTAATCCATGTGAAGTCCTCTTTGATGTCAAAGTTGCCCTTAGTGAAGCTAATGTGTTTAGTTTCCAGAAAGTATGAAGGGGGGTGTGGGGGGTGCAACAGCCTCTAGAACAGCGGTTCTCAACCTGTGGGTCGGGACCCCTTTGGGGGTCGCACGACCCTTTCACAGGGGTCGCCTAAGACCATCTGAAAACACTCACACTTCTCAGTTATAAAGTATCAACGAAAATAATTTTGTGGTTGGGGGGTCGCCACAGTGTGAGTGAATGTATTAAAAGGTCGCAGCATTAGAAAGGTCGAGAACCACTGCTCTAGAACATGATTTATCCTTTACTACTGAATGCAGTGGGCATATTTTTCTGTCTTATGGGGGAAAATACTTGTAATAAAGAAGAAGATATTTTGAAGTTTAAAAAGAAAAAGCATTCTTCCATGCCTGAGTACCCTAAACAACAGTATATAGTCAGATGAAGCTAACCCAAGAATTATTGAAGTGAATAATTTTGTCAGAGATTCTTATATACTATCTATCAAGAAGATTTATGTTTGCATTCATACTGATGACATCCACAATTTAAACCTATATTTAATGGAGTTGCTTCAATTTAATTTTGCTGAAAAGTGATTTCATAAACTCACTTTTCTCGGATGGGAAAGAATTCAGGGAACAACTGAAGCCGAACATTTGATTTCGGATTCTTTAACAATGCTGATACTTCATTCTCCAGTTGTTGGTTAGTGAAACCAAGATCCTCATGTTGTTTTTGATGAAACTCTATCTCCTGGAGGAAATATCAATGTATACAGTAGTAACAAAATTTTAAGTATTAAAAGTAATTGTATAAAACTTAACTTTTTTACAAGTGGATGAAATCAGTATTTAAGTTACAATTGAAATAGAGAAATTAAACAAATAGAATATGCAGGAAAACCTTCTTCATAACCAAATTTTGCAAGGCTGTGTCTTTGAGGCTTGGATGCATCATACCCAAAGATTCCTGCAAAGATATAAAAGATTTGGTCCCATATAATTTTTTCTAAAATTATTTTCCTTTGATAAATTAAACAAAAATTAGGGATAAATGAAATTGGCAGGGTACCTCAGTCACTCTACATGTGATGTCATTTGACAAACGAATTCTTTCTTTCTCATATTTGCCCAATTCAGTGTTGATAATGTGCTCTAGCTCTTCCAGCTCTTCCTGGAAAAGAAAGATACTGCAGTGAAAATTATTATAAAAATATTATTTTTATTGTCACAAGAAATTGAAGGGATAAGATCCATGTTGATGCTGGATGAATTTATTTTAAATTTAATGAATAATAAAACTGTATCTTCAATGTTCTAATTAAATTCCAAATTAGCCCTTTAGTATGTTAAAGTATGAAGTATTATTTAGTGGATTTATTAAACTAGATTTAAACATTAAATATTGTTGGCTAAGAATTGGTAGAAATGGGAGTCATTGATTTGATATAAAGTTTTTTTGTCCATGAAATGAACATAATTTTGTTTTTTAAGAAAGACTAAGTTGTAAATGCTTATTTTTTTGTAGAAAGTACTTACTTGGTTTGAATGTTTTAGCTTATCCAATTCTGCTTGTAAATTAGCTATGACCATAGCTTTAACAGGGTATTCTTTATCCTAAATAAATAAGAAATAACCACCAACTTCATTTAAGCACATGCTTCAAAAAGCATCTTACCTTTAAATTCTGAGACTCCTTTTAGATAATATGAGAAAGATAAAATACAACTAAAGTACAATAAACTACCAAAGAGGAAAAAAAAACATGACACAGTCAACTACTGAGCCCAGTTACCAGAGGAAAAAGTATTAAAACAACACCAGTTACAGAGGTGGATCCAAATGCAATATTCTATCTTACTTTATAAAATGTCTGCACAAAAAAATATTGCTAGTAGATAGTGCTACTTCTTTAATGTTAGTGATTTATATAATATTGTCATGGATCTAATTTTGTATTTAGCACCGTTATTGTATCTGAGAGAATCTTCTTGAAAATTTGGAGTTAAAACATTTAAAGATTAGGAGGAAATACTAGTATATTAGGATTAATAATTATAATTTAAATTGTCCCCCTAACCCCAAAATCATCATATTTAATAAGTCTTGATTCACCAGTTGTAAATTTGACAGATTTATTTAACTGTGGTTTTACATCCCATTGCTACACCCCTTGATCCCTAAACTTGAATCCTCCATAGTTCTTCTCCTCTACACAATCCAAATCCCCAGCTTTTGATTTTTTGCTTTGTCAGTTTATTGCAGTCTAGGTCAACCGCCTTCACTCTTTTGTAGTAATGCATCATCTAAACACATCCACCGCAACAACATTTTATTGTCACTACTGTGGTATGATCTTTATACAGTTGATATAGTTCTGAGCCATATTTAGTATTAGAGGCAATTCAAATCACTTGTGTACAAGCAAAGTGATTTTAGCTATCATTAATTATATCATTAATTATATTTAAAAATGAATTTACTTTATAGCTTCGTAGAACATTGAGTTTTTCTTGCTTTAAGATCAATCTCTTGTCCATTTCAGCAACATTTTGTTCCAATGCTGTAAGTGAAGCATAAAACATTTATCTATATATGGGTAATTTTCAAATGAGATAATTCAAGTAGCATTAAATGCAGTAGGATCCGGCTTATCTACATAGTTTAACATGAAGTATGAAGCATGATCACTAGGTTTGGAACCAATTTTTTTACTGTTAGCAGTGAACATTTAAATTTTTTTTATGTCCTATTAATCTCATTTTCAATGTAAATTTTAATGTACCATCCACCACAGTGTATAAAGCAACATTTGTAAGAAAAAGAGTGATAATTGTCGCTCTTCATACACCGCTATCCGTCAGATCAGCTCCATCTGCCACTACCTCACAGTTAGCACAACAAAAACCCTAGTCTGTGCTCTTGTTCTCTCTCGTTTTGACTATTGTAACTCTCCTCTGTCAAATTCACCAAGACACTACATAGAAAAACTACAAAAAGGTTCAAAACTCAGCTGCAAGGCTAATTCTAAAGGCAAAAAAAACGTGATCACGTCACATCACTACTTCCTTCACTTCATTGGCTCCCTGTACAAGCATGGATTAATTACAAACTCTCTGTTCTCTTCCAAAACTTTTTCTCAAATTCCTGCCCTTCTTAACTAACCGAACTTCTCTCTGTCTATTCACCCCTTCGACAGCTCCGCTCCTCCGCAGACACGCATATTCTTTCTGTCCCCAAGACTCGCACAAAAACATATGGTGAACGACATGTAAATAGTTCTTGAATGTGTGGAGTGAATACACAATTGCTTTGTTTTATTTAATTAATGTATGTTAATTTTTAAGTTCTTGATTATGTTTGTTAAATTGTATGTACAGTGTGGTGAGCCCAGCCTTAGGCTGGGGTACAGCACTATATAAAAACACCAATAATAATAATAATATTATTGTCACCACAAGACTACAAAAAATGAATGCAGTTGTGTATGTCATAATCAGATAAATGTAAAAATATATTAATTTATTTAATTTATCTACAAAAAGCACCCTTTCATGCAAGATGCAGAAAACTTTTTGTAATACTGACCTTTTAATTTTAAATGTATATATGCTCTAGAAGTTTCCAGCTCCAACTTGACTTCTGAAAGCTCTTTTGCAAAGTTTGTATTCAGAGTAGCAATGCCTCCCTTAATTTCAATAATTTGAAATGTTTATTTTAGAAAACATGAGTATTTGTAATTTTATTAACTTTGCTATCCTAAAATAGACAAATTTAAAGATATTGTCAAACAAAAAAAAAAAAAGGAATTTATGGGATGTCCTTTTCATTACCTTTTTTTTGACTCATCTATGAGTAACAGACTGACAAGACCTTTACTCAAGGTTATAATTGAAGCATAAAAATATATTTTAACTTTTAAGATTTATAGTCGACAAATATGAATCGGAAACAAAACTTACCCGAAACTTTTCATATTTTCTTAAAAGTCGTTTCACTTCTGCATGAGTTTCTGCTTCTTTACTCTCTATTTCACTTGCTATTTGAAGATTCATCTCAACACTTAAATTTGTTTGGGGTTAAAGTCAATAAATTTAAAATCTTTACCATTAGGGATAGCTCGTAAATTTAACTGAACCAAAAAAAAAAAAAAAAAAGAAGTTTAACAGGCAAAGGCCCATTAATGTTACAGGCACCAACACTATAGCAAATATATCTTTACAAAATTTTCATTTAAACAAAACAAAAAAAAAAAAAAAAAAAAAAAAAGTTTAACAGGCAAAGGCCCATTAATGTTACAGGCACCAACACTATAGCAAATATATCTTTACAAAATTTTCATTAATTTTTCTTTTTAACTAGGCAAGGACAATGACCTTACAGCATCGGCGTAGCTAGGGTTGTGCGAACCGTACCAGGTGACACCATCTCAGGGATGATACCCAATTGAAAAATTGCATATTTACAGAGCACACACTGCTCGGTCTAACCGAATTTCATAAAAGGATAACTGACCATACATAAATTTATCACACATCTAACCAATCCAAATGTTGGGGGATGTTCAAAGATGCTTTAGAAATCAAATAAAACGAAAATTAAGCACTGTATAATTCAGTATAAGGTAACTATTACTTCCTGGACAATCAGCAACTGGAACAAGGTTCCAAAAGTTGAGGCCACAACACTTGACACACTTGCCTCCATTGCCTCAGGACTTCCAACTCCAAGTTGAGTAGCCAGTGAAATATTCTCTTCAGTACCTGGCACAGAAACATGGCAAATCTTATGCTTCAAGACTGCAATATAATTCAAAAGGTATAATAGCCAGATACAACTTAATAGAGCACAATCATGCAACTGATGATTAGTTAACTTCATGGTATTCACTTTTACTTTTACATAAAATGTAAATGTTGCTGTCAGATCTAAAAACCAATGTTTATTTGATGTTTACATAGACATAAGCCATTCACATTCACCATGTATGTACAGTGACATCAAATAGAAATTATGGGTAAAACAAAAGGATACAGTTCTTTTTCTCTTTTTATGTACATCTCTGAAGTCTGTCTTGCATGTCTTATCTTAATCTTGAAAATGAAAAAGAAGCTTTTAAAAACTTTGAGTCAGGCTTAGAATTAAAAAAACAACAACTTCCAATTAAGAATATACCAGTACATACACTTACAAGAGTCTAAAATATATTGAGGGATGTGGGGGTTGAATGAGGAACTTAAGACATTTACTAGATTACCTCGAGAATATCACATTTTTCTTTCTGTAATCTTTGCTGTTCTTCAAGACTTGCCTGAGCTCTTCTTCCTCTTAGAAAATTGATCTGAGGTACATTTTCTGCTTTTTTATTTATTTTTCCAACTTTGAATGTAATCTGACTGTCTGAACAAGGACAAGGAAAAAATTCTTAATAAACAGCCATTCTTTTAAGGATGCGGCTATTCGGACCCGGTATCAGAAGTGAGAGGTTGGGTTTATTAAAAAAACTTTAAAATATTATTGTAGGGTTTGTACGACAAAATTTGGTATTGAATAAAAGATAATTGAATAGGCTACATGTTTGTAAACTTAATTCTTCAGTTTAACTAAAATAAAATACCACAAATGGCATCCGAATGGCATTTAGTCTAGTGGGACCCGGGTCCGAATTGCGGCAATGAGTTTCCGGTTCCATTTTGACTATATGCTATTCGGATGTCATTTGTGACAGTTTATTTTAGTTAAACTAAAGAATTAAGTTTACAAACATATAGTTCATTCAATTATCTTTCATTCGATACCAAAGTTTATCTTACAAACCCAACAATAATATTTTAAACATTTTTTAATCCGAACCTCTCACTTCTGGTAGCCGGGTCCAAATAGCCACTTCCTTCTTTTAATATGACACTAAGATAAAAATAGTTCTTTCATTGGCTATTTATTGATGGCTTCTCATTTAAATCTTAGTTGAAATGATCCTTTCTGTCTCAGACAAGGGTCAAATAAGACTAGGGTCATCAATGGATATAAGTCTCAGGGTCCACATTTGAGAAAGACTAATATTCATAAAACGAAAATAATATATGTTGGAATGGAATTTTCAGCCCGTTAAGGTATATTAGGGAGGAGGGAACCATGAGTAAATACATCAACCACTAAAGACTAAAGAGGGAAAGGACAAGAAAATTTGATATAATAAATTGAGAACAAGTAATTTTTCATTAAAAAATACCTTGTGGTTTTTTAGTACGAGTATGATTAACTTTATATTTTCTTTGCCACTGGTCATAGTCTGAAAAGTCTACATTTAGCTGAGTTCCAACAGATCTTAGCAGTTCATCGTTCTGAAAAGTATGCTGCTCTTGCTGACTAATAACTTTTTTCTCTGAAGCTGATGCCATTTCGACTTTGTAAGACTATTTTTCAACTGTAAAATGAATAAAATTGTGAAAAATTGATGAAATGATCATAGCAGATGTAGTGTGTGGGTGGCAGAGGAGTTTGTTTCATTCAACATGTTAGAGGCGTGCCTTATCATATATTTACAGTGAAATATTTATTTTCACAATATTTATTATTCCTAAAATTAAAATATCTGGTAAAATTTTTTATCCACATCCATGTAAACACAGATTTTTTTGTCCTTTCTCTGCTATCTGGCTCTGGTGCAGGATAAGCTCTTGAACACCAACCTGATAAAGCTAACATTACAATATTAAAAAAATTATCCCTCCTGACTTTAGGAAACTCAATATTTATAACTTTTTAGTTTAAATTAAAAGAATAAAAGCAATAATCAAATAAATAAATATAAATAAATTGCATACAACTACGCTGGCTTCAGTCTACAAACTACACCAGTGCTGTCCAACCCGCCGCCCATAGACTGGTTTTAAGTAGCCCACCAGGGCTTGAAACATTTTTACCATTTACCATTTGTTTAAAAAATAAACATCTTAAATTTAGATGGAAAAAAAAATTTCAAATGACTTTCAGTGAGTCATTACTTTTGGTAAATCTCATAAGACTACAGCAGAAGTGGTGGCATTAAAAAAAAATGGTTGTGGTAAAAGGAGAGAGATGCTTGACATGTAACAGTAATTTATGTTAAGTGCAGCAGCAGATGAACGATGTGGGAACACGGGGTGACATGAAATTGGATAGTAACTTCTTCATCTTTCTGCTTAATCGTCCAGCCATAAAAAAAAGTGGTTTTGTGGGGTTGTAGTGGTGTACAGGTATAATTACTAACGGCTTTACTAGCGGAGAGAAGAATTTTGAAACAACTTAAAGTATGGTAACTTGAACTTGATGAGTAGCTAGCTGGTCATCGTAAAATGTCCATGCACACCAACGGGACTGGTTTAGATGAACTAGATATGTGAGCAACATCAGGCTTTATAGCTTGATAATACAAAAGTGAGATCTGGGCACTAAAGGTGTTGCAAATGACTGGTGGAGGGGGGGAATGTGAACCAGTTAAAACGTAATAGGCAGGCTGTCCAGTTGGAGGCAGTATATTCATCCTGTATTTTTAAGACGAAATCAAACTAGTACCTGATAATCAGTGATCGGAGTAAGATCAATTCCAGGAGTAGAAAGCAGGATAAAAGCTGTGTTTGTAGCTACTGCAATTCAGTCTGAAAAAATTCTGAGACACAGTACTAAGGATTCTTCAAAGCATTTTTATTTCTAAAAAGATCAAACCAAAATGGCAAGCAAAAAAAAGGAAAGTTACAGAAAGAGAAGTGCACTTTTAACGCTTCATGGGAACTGAAGTCGAAAAGGTTGGACAGCATTGAACTACACCAACAATATTATACTATACTAATAATACTAAATAGTAAAGGCCTAATTAATAAAAGTAATAGGCTATTAAACTAATAATATCAGTAATAATAATAAATAATTATTAGCCTTAGTGTAGGGTGACCAAATCATGAACTGGAAAAAGCGGGACACACCTAAGGAGGGTTTGGGGGGATACCCTCCAGCTAAAGATGGGTCAGGGGCATCAGTCGGAAACTGTTTATTTAAATATGCTAATTTTTACAATTTTGAGACCTACAGGATGGGCCAAAAAAAGTGAGAACATCACGTAAATATTACGCTACGAAATGTTCTCACTTTTATTGTTTATTGGCCCACCCTGTAGATTGCCTAGAAAGCTTTAAATTTACCTTCACATTTGTAATTTAATTTAAACTCTGAGGCATTTTATAAACGAAAAAATAATTTTGGAGTGAATACTTATTTATTTATACATATTTTACAACAAATTAAATTTCTCTAGTCTAGGATTCAAATTAAGGATATTGTGCTGTAGTCCCAGCCATTGTTAAAATCTCCTTATCTAATATAAAGTTGTAAAAACTAGATCAGTCCATTTCGAAATTGTAGAGAACCTGCATGATTGCAGAGAGGGTCTCCACTCTCATCTTGTTACTTTTGTCTGTCCATTGAATTTTCATGAGCCAAGAGATTATTTCACTCTTACCATAAATTATGGGCAGGGATCACAGTCACAGCGTTGGCAGAGTGGTGGAGGGGAAACAGTCAACAGTGCAGCCATCACGCGAGCCCACATCACCACTGGCTACACAGCTAGCCAAAATAAGTTATATTATAAATTAGGAATTTTTAGTGATTTGAAAATGTTTGGTTTTAGAAAGGGGACATGTAGGCGTTCCTAGAGGTTTTTTCATGATAACGGTTACGATCGTTTGGTCACCCTACCTTAGTGCCATTAGCTTTCGGATTTATTTAGACTATCTTAAAATAATATAAATATTATTATATATCTTTTTAATTTTAGTTATTTTTAGCTACGTCCGATTCAGGCTACAGACACTGACAGACGACTACAGACTACAGGTTAGGTCAACGTTTGAACAAGAATAAGGTCAATAGTTTACTAGATTACCGTACTTGATGAGTTTGACATTAAATCTTGTCATTATATTCCAATAAATTTCTTCATTATTTTTAATAATTTAATCTGATACCGCGCATCAAATGCGTTTAAGTGATTGATGACTCCTAGTTTGCTAAACGAATCGCCATTTTCCAAGCCATTGTTGTTACCCCGGTGATTTAAATATTGAGCTAGATAATATTTTAAAAAATTGTTTTAACTTGATCAAATTTGAGTAAGATATTTGTATAATTTATTTAGAAGATTTTTACATTGAAATGTAATTGATTATTGTAATTAAATATCTAGATTTTATGATACTTATAAAATAATAAAATTATTAATATAATTTAAAATAATTCCTAACCCCCAAATTAAATGGCGCTATATTATGAAGTACTTTCGATTTCTCTCGATGCATAAATAGGACTTATACATTATGAAAAGGGTGTTGCTAATTCTTAGCATTGACAATGGTAAGAGAATTATAAACTGTATTTAAATTATGATTTACAATTTATCAACAGTTTGAATCTTTTACAATTTATAAGATGGCACTAAATCTAGGATAGCTAGGCAGCTACTTTGACTTGACTTACACTTACTTCACATTCCAATCACACTTACTCTACATAGTTACATAGTCTACTACTATTACTACTAATGTGGTAATGGAAGTTGTAAGTGTTAGTGACTATTTCTGAAGCAGCACCATTGCTATCTATTAAGATTATTTTTTAAAGCATTGTAGGCGTAGGCCTAAATAATCTATAAATTTTAATTTCATTATGATTGCATTGTTGACCATTGTTGACATCTTTCCATCTTTTCCTTCGTGAACAGTGAAAGGATGGAATGGTGTGTTTCGCAGGGCTTCTGACTTCTGTATTCTTTGTACCTCCTTCAGTGGCTAATGAGGCCGATCCTGGAGTGGCAGTCTTGGCTGCATTTCCCCCCTAAGATAGGGTGACCAAACGTCCCATAAAAATAGGATTGTCCAGTTTTTTCACGATCGTACCTGTTGTCCCGAAAAAGTCTCAAGGGACACCCAAATGTCCCGTTTTTTAAACCAAACACATTTAAAATCACTAAAACTTCCTAATTTATAATATAACTTCAAGTAATATTTTGGCTAGCTGTTGTAGCCTGTGCCATTAGTAATTTGGGCTTGTGTGATGGCTGCACTATTCCCCTACACCACAGTGTCCCTGCCATAGATCTTATTATGTAAAAGTATAGCGAAAGACACAAGACTTAAAGCCGTGGGGGGGGGGGATGTAACTGAGCATAAGCCAATATTGTTTATGCTACTGCTACATGTAATGTGTTAGTCTTATGTGTGATCCCTGCCGACCTGTTCCTATCAGAGTGACAGATGTTTGTTTTGGGTGTTGAACTTTGTTATTTAATTTTATATTATCTTCTCATGTAGTCATGTAGAGAATAATTATGCCCAAGCATCAATGTAAGTTTATGGAGGAGTATTCCAAAGAGTGGAACTATATTAAAAAGGGATGCTATGAAAGTGAAGCCGAGGGTACAGTTTGCAATAATGATTTTAGTATTGATCATGGTGGACGTTCAGACATAAAACAACACATCACATCAGTGAAACATAGGAAAAGACTGAGTGCCCCCAGTAGATTTCTAGGTTAGATTCCATAGTTAAAATGAGCATATTTCAATAAACAGTTTCTGGTGGAGGCCCCCGGACCCCTCTTTAGCTGAAGGGTATTCCCCCCCCCCCAAAAAAAAAATTAAGAAAAAAAAGAAGAAAAAAACCGTCCTTGAAAATTTTTTTTTCCAGTTCATGATTTGGTCACCCTACCCAAAGAGAACCGTGACTGCTGATTTTCTTTCCCCTTTTTTTCTACACTACAAGTTTACCAGGGCTTGGTTGGATTTAGTAGTGTTAGTGTTAGTTACACCTGACTACTACTACAGATTCTCTTCAGTTGTTAATTTTATTAATATTTTATGTTCACTCTTATATTTTGATTTCTTTTAAGATGAGAAGTCCAAGACAAGAACGGAAGAGACTTTCAAACAATCGTTATTGCAAAAGACTAAAGGACTTGAAAAGGATGCATCCAATGTATTATTTAAAATAATAACTACCACACCAGATCTAGAAAAGGTTTCATTTATAATGTACACTTATATCGTTTATGATAAAAAATTTTTAAAAAAGGGGAGATCCATAAATGATGTCCTGCATCTAGGGCGTGAGGGGGGGGGGCATGTTTTAGTGGTGATAGGGATGGGAGAGGTTTAAGCAGTGTGACGTCACATGAAAATATTCACATTATAGTAAAAAAAAATGCACTTAATAACACTAAATTACAGACGTTTAAACATAATTCTTTGAATTAACAATTATTATTATTTTATTTTTACAATGCGATCACAGAGAGAATCAGTACAGTTTATGTGAGGTATGAAAAATGGTCTCTGATCAAGTTACAGGCCGCCCCTTTGTTTACAAAATTTCCGCACCCCTAAATCGTATAAATTGTACTGTAATAAAAATTTAAAACAATTTATTTATCATAGTTTTACTTCTTTAATTAACTTCCTATTAAAAAGGGGAAAGTACATTACAAGTACTGCGAAAAAAAAAAATTACCGCTATTTTGTGATGTTATTTTTGAGAGGGGGTCTAACTTTTTGTGATGATTTGGGTGTGTGTGTGTGTGTGTTAAAATTGGCAAAATTTGTGTGACATCATTGATGGATGGCCCCAAAACAACTTCTTAGACCTAATAGACTATGTGTTTATTTAACAAATCATTCATTAAAACAAATATAAGGTTTGTTTGAAAATATAAAATTATACAGATAATAATATTTATCATCCTCAGTACCGTACCAGAAACACACATTTTTATTATTAAATGATTAAGTAATTTCATTAATTTATTCAGCCAACTGGAACTCTACACCTCAAGCAGTGGATCACAAAGGATGAACTGGATTCCTTGTTAAATGAAAACAATGAAAGGTTTGCTGTTAAATAAAAAAGGCCTATATGAAGTGTATTTTGCCTGAAAACATGATCTTTTATTTTAACACATACATTTTAAATATTGCATTGTTGGTTTGTCAGCCTGTTTGTGTATACTGATTTAGATTAATGAAAGATAAGATAGTTTAGTTCCTCTAGTTTTGGTTTTATGAACACTAAAAATTTTAGGTTGAAATGCCAATGATTAAGGCTCTGAGTAAAAATTATGAAACTTAGCCTACTTATTTATAGTCATCAGTCACAGTCTGATAGGCAACAGGACTTGGCCACCATTTTACACTATGCTGCGGATTCCTTGCCATATTTGGGTGAGCCTTTAATTTCACTACATCTGTATAATTAATAAACGTGTGGCGCATACATAATAATGCACAGCAGTGATTATTCAGTTTCTTAAGTATTATTACAAAGAGGTAATTACTTATTTTAAAAAGAATAAGCTTCTTGAGTTACTTCAAGTTTAGATCTGCTATGCATTTAAAAATATGTTGTAGTTGGTCTTTATTTACCATTATTTTCTATTAAAAATTGACCTTTAAAATTTAATTAGTCTTACAATTTACGTTAACTTTTTAAAAATAATTAATGTAATTTTCAATTGCACATTTTTTAGACAGTTAAAACTGGTAATTTAGAAATGTAATTACGTTGATTTCTATTAGTTCGTATTGTGAAGACTTGTTACCTGCATAGGCCTACATATTAAATCTTTTTTGAACAGTGCATATTTTTACTATTTTAAAGACAATCAGTGGTTGGAATTTTATTTTGGATCGTGATGGCAATTTATCTGGAAATAATTTGCTGTTAAAAGCATATCCTCTATTAACCATTTTAACTAACAGGGATTTAAGGGATTTTTAAAGTAAACTACATTCATTTTATATAATTGGAGGATTTTACTGCTTATAAAACTTTTATTTTGTAATAGGAATTTCCTTGAAATGAAATTTAAAGAAACAAACTATTTTCTCACATTGATTTTTTTTATTTAAGGCGACAGAACTTGGGTGAAATTAGAGCGAACATTATTGATAGAACTTTACTGCTGTTGGTTTTCTATAAACAATCATTTTTTTTCTTCATAGTTTTATGAAAGTTGAAAATAATCTCATCAACTTGGCAGATGTGTTATTATGGAAATATATTGTAATTTATCAATATGATCTCAGTATTACGACAGCTGAATTGTTATTAATAATTATAGGCATTCTCAGTAATACTGCAGCTTTATTTTCTTAGATTTATTTATTTCAGGAATCAGTCTTGATGTCATTTTTGTAATGGGATCTTGTAAGGAGTCCATCTCACATTGTGCTAGGTCTGTGATTTATTTATACCGCTGTGCTTCTATTAAAAATAAATATTTCACTTACTTAACTGAAATAACATTCTCCGTTATTTATATAAAATATTTATTATTTGAGTATTACATATTCTTCTAATGAAATGCTATAGACATTTTAATGGTTATTAGTATAATATCTGTTCATCTAAGCTTCTTTTCATTCTTCTTTTACATTTTTAGGTATTTGCCATATTATTCATTGTGAAGCTTATGTTATGCTTTACAATGAATATATATTTATAGAAAATAAGCTATAGCAGAAAATAGTTTGTTCATAAATATCGCTTCGATCTTCTTGTTTACTCATATAATTTGTGTCTTGTAATCTTCCTAAACCATTATGGCTGTTCAACACTCTTCTCTAAAGTTTTTTGGCCTTGGCTGGTGCTGTGAGACGTTTGATAGAATGGCACCATGGAAGAGTTTCCTTTGTAAGGCTGGATCTGCAGCTACCTTCCATTGGTTCAAAACTTGCAGAATGTTTCAATTGTCAAGTATTGGATCAGTTAGAACTGACCTTTGATTCTCAGTCACAATGGACAGGAAAAGTTTCTGTGATGGATAAAATAGTAAGTGGGCTATTCACTTTATTTGCTAATTTTGCGACTTCTCTTGAGAATTTAAGGAAACATTTTGTGACCTCTCTAGAGAATTTAAGGATACATTTTGTGACCTCTCTAGAGAATTTAAAAAAACAAATTTTGCGACCTCTTGTGAGAATTTAAGAAAACATATTTTTTTATCTCTAGAGAATTTAAAGAAACAAATTTTGTGACCTCTCTAGAGAGTTTAAGGAAACACATTTAGTGATCTCTAGAGAATTTAAGAAACAAATTTTGCGTCCTCTTGTGAGAATTTAAGAAAACATTTTGTGACCTCTCAAGAGAATTACGGAAACAAATTTTGCGACCTTCCTTAAGAAACAGATTTTGTGACCTTTTGAGAGAATTTAAACAAACAGATTTTGTCCCGATTTAATATTCTCAAAATCTTTTAGTATTTTATAGTTGTTTTTCTTGAAAAAATCATATTGTCTCTATAAATCATTCTATATAATAAAATAATAATTTTTGTGTGCTTTTTTTTTGAAGGAAAACAAGGGTCATATATTCTCTGGCTACCAAATGGATTGTGAAGATTGGAACACATTATTGCTGCAGAAGTTGCCACCACCACAAACACCGCCACTTGCAAAGAAAGGCAGAAATCTAGTAAGTCAGTCCTCCTCCTGGAACTATTCACCGTGACTTATCATAAGACATCAATAGGAAAATAAAGTTTTAAATCACATGGAAAAAGTCAGCATTCTTTTAATTTTTTAACATTTAATATAGCATACATGACAAGTTTTCTCAAACTTTTCTACATTCTGCTCCAAACTAATTTTTTGATCAAGTCTCATCCTCCCTTTGAATAAAATAAGTCTCATACCTCCTGCAATAGACTAAGTCTAATACCCCATACAAAATCATATTGAAATCGGAAAAGAATGGACCTTTATTTATTTTTGTAAATTATAAAGATAATATTGTAGATCATAGAAAATAAACTAATTACTTGTTACATAGAGTAAAATTTTAATTTAAAAAATGTAATTAAAAAATTTATAACATAAATTAAAAAAAATTTATAACATAACATAAATTAAAAGTAAATGGCCCCTCTGTTCTTATGACTTTTCTTGGCATTGCTTGAGATGCCTCCTGGCATACCTTTGATTTATCCAAGCACCCCAAGTTTGGCAACCCTGTTATATGATGTTATAGTTGTTTTTAAATTTTTCTTTTGAAGCAACCAAGACATTAATCTCCCTTATCACAATTTTTTTTTGCATTAAATTAAAGATTACATTTTCCTGAACTGACTTTGAAATTTCTCATTAAATCAATTTTTACTTTTTCCCATGGTTGCTAGTTTTACCTGACAGTTAAAAAATACTAGTAACATAATTCAAATAGCTGGGAAGAAGACTGTTAATGTTTCATTTTTGTTTTAGCTGCTTGCAGTTTTTATTTGAAACATTTCAAATTGAAACTTTATACTTTTTTGTGTTCTGAAACAGCAAACAAAAATTTCAGCAGAACCACAACAAGCTGTCCTCGGCAGAACCATTGAAGTATTACAGGAAATAGATTTAAGAACTTTTCCAATTCATTTTTTGGATTCATGGACCTTGACATTGTATCCTTTTTGAATTTACATTGAACTTCATGTCACTTCTGTATTTAACCTTTTGAACTTTGGCTCCTGTTCCTAAAATGCCCATGCCCCTGGGCTCCTGGGGAAAAATTACACATATACACAAGCAAACAAAATTCCATGATTGTAAAGTTATACCAGTTTTATTTCTTTCTTTCTAAATTTGTCTGTTAGCTGTCTATTATTGTTATAAAATGCATCACAGTGAGAAGCTTGTCTTAGATTCTGTATAGCAAGCATAGCAGACTTCATGCCTGAAAATCAGGACTAGGGATAGACCTTGTTGTTTCTTTATAATCCAAAGCGTACATTCTCCCACTTGCACTAGTTGAAATCAGCCGAGTGTCACTATCAAAGGGTTGAAGTTAATTTTGTATGGTATTATGCATTGGATGTAGGATGATGTAATGGATGTTGGATGATGCATTGAATCTGAGATTGTAATTAATATTGAATTCTTATGAATTGTGTACCCATATTTTAAAAAAATAGAATCTGCGATCATGCACATAATATAAATGCATACAGTTGTTCAAAAAATTGCCTTTAAACACTATTTTTGTAATGGGAATAACAATTACACATTTAATACTATTGGTCACAGACATAAAAACAAAAGTGCACTTTAATATTTAGATTTTCAATCAGCTTTTATCCTCATTAATCTTGTTGTTCTCATGGTTCAACCATGACTGTTAACTTGTGAATGTTAAAGTCTCTGGAAAATTAGTTGTGGATATTAAAGACTCCTGTTCTATTGAATACCTTAACTTTGAAACAGATCTATACAAAATGAGTCCCCCAAAACTTTGATCAACTACATTCAAGAAATGGAACAGGTGAGATGATATCTAGCTATTCATTTATTGTCTGTGCTGGAAATTACACTGAGTTGTTGATGTAGGGGCATACATTAGATATTTTTAATTTGATATAATTCCAGACAGGTTTAATTCCTACTAAATGATATAATGATATTATTCCAGACTGGTTTAATGCCTACTAAATGATATAATGATATTATTCCAGACTGGTTTAATTTCTACTAAATGATATAATGATATTATTCCAGACTGGCTTATTGGCAAGGATACAGATACATCCAGACTTTAAAGAAATTCAAACTTGCGGAAAGCTAACCAACTTAAACACTTCAGCATGGAAGGAAAATTATCATAACCTTACAGGTAATTTCTTCCACTGTCTCTTGTCATTTTGTCACTCATAAATTATCATTACATTACTGGTAGTTTCTTCCACTGTCTCTAGTCATCCTGTCACTATCATAAGAAACCTAATGTTTATTCCCATTTTGTATTTGGGATAGAGGTGGTATCACCATTTTTTTTTTTTGTGTCAGAGGTAACTTTAAATAAATATACCTTCTCATTCAGGATGAGCTATATATATTTATGTATATATTTGTTTACTACAAGGCAAGGAACCAACTTTTAGTAAAGAATTTATATAAACATTTTCAATGTTTATTAAATGGTTTCCATTTATTTGAATCATAAAAAAATCACCACAGTTCAAAATTTAAATAAATTCCGTGTTAAATGTTTTAATTTATGCTTCAATTTATCACAAGGGTGGTGTATTTGTAGAATAATTTCCTGTCCCTCATTTAATGCTCTTTGGAAGTTGGTATTTTTTTGTGAAAAATTAATATATTTAATTAAATTAATTGAATTGTAAAAAAAAAATAATGTGGTACATGGTAAAAAAAACAAACAACTCCAATTCCATCATTTTTAACTTGAAATAAAAAAACCCACAAAACTTTCCATAAAATATCAAAGAGCTGCCATTTTATCACCATAAGTTTTATATATGCATATATATATCGCCATAAGTTTTATATATGGATTTATATATATGTATATATATATATATATATATATATATATATATATCACCATAAGTTTTATATTTGCATATGTATATCACCATAAGTTTTATACATGCATATATATAGCCATAAGTTTTATATATGCATATATATATCACCATACGTTTTATATATACATATATATATATCACCATAAGTTTTATATATGCAAATATATATAGCACCATAAGTTTTATATATGTATATCACCATAAGTTTTATATATGCTTATGTATATAACCATAACTTTTATATATGCATATATATATGGCCATAAGTTTTATATATGCATATATATATGGCCATAAGTTTTATAAATGCATATTTCAGAACCTGATGAAGTGCACATTGGAAATGGTTCACATTACATGTACCTGCTTCTACTACCACATCCTAATAAGGCATCTCCAAGTCTGTCCACATCTATTATGACTAGAGTTCTGCTGTCCCCTCATGAAATCAACAGAAATCTGTATGATATCCTAGACAACATCCTGAAGTCAGATCCTTGCTCCACAGATGGCATCATGCAGTGTCGTTTAGATTGTGTTATGTGTAATAAATTACATTTAATCAAGGTAATTGTTAGTTCGTAACCAGATTTATACACCGAATTCTCAAGCTTCCCCTCGTCAGGATTTTGACACTTCTTTAAAAAAAAAAGTGCCAGAATTATATCTGTTTTTGTGAGAATTTTAATTCACTTGTCTCTTTGATTTAAAATTAGGTCTTATTGTCTTAGTCCTGTGCCCCCTCACAAAAACGTAGACATGAGTGACCAACAGTGAAAGTTCAGTTTTAAATTTAAGTTGGATGATGTCAAGGTCATTGCTAGAGGCTATAAATCACTTATGATACTAATTAAGGCGAAATTGTCACTAAGGGCGTTAAGTTTTATGTTAGAGAAATAATTTACCGATCTTATGTTTAAATTATTAGACTCCTAAAAAGTTTTATTGGTTAGAATATTTATTTAATTATTGAAATTGAATAAGTGGAATGCAGTAAAAAAAAAAAAAAAATTCTATTTATTTGAATCAACAAGAGAATAAAAGAATCTTTTCTTAACTTATATTTTGTCAAACTGGACCACCATCCATTTTCATATCACACAATCCAGACTAACATTTTGTGAAGATAGTTCCATTTACCAACACAATTAAATGGGCTACCAACATTTATAATTTAAATGTAAACCAATTTTTAAAAAAATGGTTTTGTATAATCATGGGATTGAGTAGTTGAATGGTTGATTTGGTTTTAGTTAAAATTAGATCTTTTTTTCAGAAGGAGAAGTTTGAATTCCTGTTGCAACTACACACAAGAAGCCATGAATTAATGCTTCAAGGTAAACCCTAGTTATGACTTGTGTGTTAGCTTTATGACTTGTGTGTTAGCTTTATGACTTGTGTGTTAGCTTTATGACTTGAGTGTTAGCTTTATTTTAAATAATATCATTCACATTTGACCATATTTTACCATTAATTGATAGTTTCTTGTTATATTCAGGCAAATAACATTTGGGCAAATTATCTATTGGCACAGAATTAAAAAATTTGAATTTAAAAAAACAAAAATCCTTTCTAGAAACTGAGGAGACAGATGGTGACAAAGATGGTGTTAAAGACACAAGAATAGGACGCCTGGAAAGTGTGTCTCAGATTGAAGAAGAGTTGTTTGAGACAGCCTTCGGGGATGGTGCTATGATCAAAGAGTGTTTGGCTGACACTTGCAGGCAAAGACAAGCTGAAACCTACGGATGGGTTCCAGGTGGGCAGAACACTGGAAGATCTTCTCTGGTGTCTAACTTGTTTCTCCACGGACATATTTTAATTTTTAACTTGCTCATCTACTGCTTCACTGACTTATCTCACCCCTCGACTGACTTATCTCATTCCTTGACAGACTTATCTCACCCCTCGACTGACTTATCTCATTCCTTGACTGACTTATCTCACCCCTCGACTGACTTATCTTATTCTTTGACTGACTTATCTCACCCCTTGACTGGCTTATCTCATTCCTTGACTGACTTATCTCACCACTTGACTGACTTACCTCACTACTTGACTGACTTATCTCACCCCTCGACTGACTTATCTCATTCCTTGACAGACTTATCTCACCCCTCGACTGACTTATCTCATTCCTTGACTGACTTATCTCACCCCTCGACTGACTTATCTTATTCTTTGACTGACTTATCTCACCCCTTGACTGGCTTATCTCATTCCTTGACTGACTTATCTCACCACTTGACTGACTTACCTCACCACTTGACTGACTTACCTCACTACTTGACTGACTTATCTCACCCCTTGACTGACTTATCTCTTATCTCATTCCTTGACTGACTTATCTCTTATCTCATTGCTTGACTGACTTATCTCACCCCTCAACTGACCTATCCCATTCCTTGACTGAATTATCTCACCCCTTGACTGGCTTATCTCATTCCTTGACTGACTTATCTCACCACTTGACTGACTTACCTCACTACATGACTGACTTATCTCACCCCTTGACTGACTTATCTCTTATCTCATTCCTTGACTGACTTATCTCTTATCTCATTGCTTGACTGACTTATCTCACCCCTCAACTGACCTATCCCATTCCTTGACTGAATTATCTCACCCCTTGACTGACTTATCTCACCCCTTGACTGATTTATCTCACCACTTGACTGACTTATCTCACTCTTTGGCAGATTTATATCACTCCTCAAATGACTTAACTCAACACTTGACTGACTTATCTCACCCCTTGAATGACTTATCTCTTCCCTTGATGATTTGACTCATCATGTCTGTCTAGGTTTAGGAGATCTAGGTCAGCTATAATGAGAGCTTTGTTAACTTTGTTCCCAGATTCATCCTTGGGTTCCAACAAGTTCCCAGAGAAGCTCTCACTACAGGCTAAAGACTCATCTAGGAAAGCACTCCAGAGTTATCCCTCCATGGAAAGTCTTGCATCTTCTTCTCCCGTGTCTCTGGCTGATTTGGAGCAAAAGAAAAGTAACTCTAATAATCAGATATTGTGTCAAAGACAAAGATATTACTTAGTTAATAGGTTACCTAAATTTTTTAGTCTTAATTCTGGAATTTTCTATGTTTTAAGCCACAACTGTAAAATTCTGCAGATATCAACATTGCATGAAAGCACCCCCCACCATGAAAAAACTATGTTCATCTTGGGTTAACCAAAAATTCTTGATTTGTTACAGTTAAACCACTAGCCCAGTGGTCGGCAAATAACGGCTCACGAGCCGCATGCTGCTCTTTAGTGTCCTGAGTGCGGCTCTGCAAGTCAGCCACAAATCAGTTTTGACTCAAAAAAACATGGTTCTTGACAGGTTCTTGAAAAGCAATTAGGCTCTCAAAATTTTTTTAATCGTCCTGCTGATTTTTGGCTCTTTTGACTAATGAGTTTGAGGACCACTGTAATAGCAAGTCATATCTAATGAGTTTGCCAAACAATGTAGTAGCCAGTCATATCTAATGAGTTTGAGGACCACTGTAGTAGCAAGTCAAATCTAATGAGTTTCCCGACCACTGTAGTAGCCAGTCATATCCAAGTGATTGGTTACTGAATGTACTTATTATGTGTTTATCAGTTTCTGTATAGTCAAGCAATCAATTATTTTCTGTTTTGCATGATTGCATCAAGGAAAGCATAGAATAAAAAATAGCAAAGATCTTAATTTACCTTAAAACGTGTGCAGTTTAGTCCATGCCATGTGACTCTCTGCCATGCTGTAAATCAGCGGTTCTCTTGGTTCTCAACCTTCGGGCGGTGACCCCTTTGGGGGTCGAAAGACCCTTTCTCAGGGGTCGCCCAAGACCATCGGAAAATACATATACTCTACAGTTATAAAGTAGCAACGAAAATAATTTTGTGTTTGGGGGAACTGTATTAAAGGGTCGCGGCATTAGGAAGGTTGAGAACCACTGCCATAAATGTTATAATTAAAAGAATTATTCTCAAAATCAATAGATTAAACTGTTTATCTATGTTTATTAAAGACAAGACGTTATTAGGGAATCCATTTTATAAATGATAATTAGAATGAATAAAAAGCTCACCACAAGTGAAAAAAAAAGTTTCTGTGTCCTTTCATCTTACAGCCTCGCTTGTGTTCGAAATCAACGATGTCCTCAATGTGTTTAAACAAGATGGCAGTCATGTCAAGTTTCTCCCAGCTCCTGTCAAGCTAGTAAGCTCACATCTATAAAATTTATCTGCTTAGGAAACTCTCAGGTGTAAAAATATTGCATCCAGCAACAGTCAGCGCACATGGCTTTTAAATAAAAATGGTATAGTAACTAAAATTTTCGTGTAATTCCCAACAAAATTTTGATTAAAAATTATGGCATTGTTAAATTCAATTTTGTATTTATCTATAATTGCTCTGGTCTCAGTCTAACACAGATATATTTATTATAGCAGTCTTTAATAAAAACATCTTCAATAAAATAATATTTTCAGAAAAAATAATATTTTCAGAAAGGGCGAAGTCTTTGTCGTGTAGAAAGTCAGCCTGATTTATCGACACACTGGCCAAACAGTCAACAAGTGCGCTATCATGATATCTAGTAAGTAGCTTATCCCTCAACCATCTGCATTTTCTTGACATTTATTGTCGGCAATTGAGTAGTTAGAAGCTTATCCGGGTTGTAATAAACTTCACAACCATAACAATAACAAGTATCTTATACGTTTGACAGCACTCTGTTATTAAGGTATCTTAGTAAGTTGTCAATCAATAAATCCATTCTTCAATAACTACATGATGATATTTAGTAAGGGTTTTATCCAACAGCCTGTAACAGCATCAAAAAATCATATTGTAAATACAGATGTTATTGTAAATTTTTGGGTGTTTTTTTGTAATCGATTTTTCTGTTTTCAGAAATTCAGTTTTAAAATGGTTTTATGCTTTTGCAATCAAAGCGCGATTGCTGCAGAAGCACATGGGAATAGCCTTTCTGTACTTTTTTGTTGTTGTTGCTAATCAATATATACATATTTTTGTGGGGGTTATTGGTGTCTTGGGTGAATTGCCACACTTTTCTCCTCACTACTTGACCCCATATGCAATGCATTTCAAACTGTTCCTCACAGTCACATTACATCGATATGATATTTTATAAAGCCACACCATCCACAGAGTGATTCCCACAGCCATGTCATATTGACATGATATTTTATAAGACCATACCATCCACGGAGGCAGCCACTCAGCTATGTCAGATCGACATGATATGTTATAAGACCATACCATCCACGGAGGCAGCCACTCAGCTATGTCAGATCGACATGATATGTTATAAGACCTTACATCCATAGAGGCAGCCATACGTCCTTGTCAGATGGAAATTTTAAACAACATACCATCCATGGAAACAGGCACACACATCCATGTCATATTGACATGATATTTTATAAGACCAAACCATCCATAGAGGCAGCCACACAGCCATGTCATATTGACATGATATTTTATAGGACCAAACCATCCATAGAGGCAGCCGCACAGCCATTTCATATTGACATGATATTTTATAGGACCAAACCATCCATAGAGGCAGCCGCACAGCCATTTCATATTGACATGATATTTTATAGGACCAAACCATCCATAGAGGCAGCCACACAGCCATGTCATATTGACATTATATTTTATATGACTCAATGATTCACAGCTGTAGGGAGAGTATGTGTTCTCTTTACATTGTACTGTAGTTTTTGTTGATTGGGGTGGGGGGGGACACAAAATTTTTGGAGACTGCGCTCTGCCAACTTGTTAATATCTGTTACACAATAAACGCTTGTAACAATAAACACTTTTTCCAATAAACGCTTGTAACAATAAACACTTTTTCCAATAAACGCTTGTAACAATAAACACTTTTTCCCATACAAAATCCAGCCACAACCTTTTTTATTTTATTTTTTACATTGGCGAGCTGGTATAAATACAGAATATGGTATGGTCAGATTTGCCAAGTATTAGCAACAAGTCTACCAATTTTATGCATTATTCAACATCTTTATTTCTTTAAAATAAAAAGTTTTTTATTTATTAAATTATAGATCAAATATTTACTATTGGTTTATAATTTAATTTGTTCTTTAAAAATATAGATTTAATTTTTTTTAAAGGTATATTTTGATAAAATAATTCTAAAACCGGTTTCGACAATCAACAACCCGTTCTTGGTTTCAAAACCTAAACTACGGTTTTTGTTTAACAATTTTACTTTTAAGTAGATCCTCCGCTGCAAGTTACACCAAGTACGGTACCGTACATGTTTCCTTAGTAAACTGCCATTTTTTAATTGATGTTATTTATCCACACTATTTGCATTTCATCTTAAAACTAATTTCAGCTACTATACGGATGAGAATGATATGCTGCTTGAAAAGAAGTATTCAAAAATAAGAGACCGAAATGACTTTGCCGACACCTGTAGCTCATTTGTGTCTCCAGTCAAGAAAAAGCAGAGACCGGTCCCAAGCATGCCACCTGTGAGGTCATCACCAAGAAGAGCTACTGCATCACAGTATCTTATGACGCGAGATAAAACACTTAAGTATGTTTGTTAAATTGTTCAGGTCAACAAGCCATGCACAATTGTCCTAAGATCAGCAAGCCACATAAAATTATCCAAAGATCAACCGGCCAAATAAAATTATCCTAAGATCAACAGGCCACATAAAATTATCCTAAGATCAACAAGCCACATACAATTATCCTAAGATCAACAATCCACATTAAAATTATCTTAAGATTGACAGGCCACTTAAAATTATCCTAAGATCAACAGGCCACATAAAATTATCCTAAGATCAACAGGCCACATAAAATTATCCTAAGATCAACAAGCCACATACAATTATCCTAAGATCATCACGTGTAATTAACAGTGCATCTTGATATTATTAATTGATATTATTAAGTAATTTTGTTCCCTTATGTTATTAGTAAAAACTGCATTCAGCTAACATTTTTTAATATCTTTAATTTTATCAGCAAAAAATAAATATTCATAATCCTACAAATAAGAAAAAAACTTTCTACGTATGCACTTGTGTAAACTTTAAGGACACCTCATTTTAGGCATTTGCTTCATCAGTTAGGAATCACAAAAATATATCATCAACAAATTTATTGTGTTTCCCTATGACAATAGTATATTCTGCATATGAAATCAATAAGCGCTGTATTCAAACTCTTACAGATTTTTCCCGCATGTAAAGTGGCTTGAGTTTAGTCTTTATAATTTATATTAGCTTTACTCCTATAAAAGAAATTTGCAATGTTATTCAAATATTACCCTGGCCTATTCTTGATGTGTCGTTATGAGCCCATGTAAAATATTCAAGTCATTTTAAGTATCAGTGAAAGTATAAGTACAAAACTGATCCTTTACGATTTTTTTTTTGATTTTTAATGGTGAAAGAAAAATGATAGGTTGTCGATTTTTATTGCTTCTAGTTTAAAATAATTCAATGAGTGCTTGAATGAACAAAAACCTGGTCCTTTTCTAATTAATTAAAGAAGTTTTACCTATTTGTTGAGAACCCTTGGCCATGATGGTTGACCAAAACAAAGGATCAGTTTGGACAGTGAGAGATCCTTGCCACCTGAACCTTTCATGAACTATACCCAGAGCTTTGAACAATCCTTACTTTAAATCATGTTTAGTTTAATCCCCAATTTCTTGATTCCAGCTCAACACTGCATACAGAGACGCTAACTGACAAACTATTTAAACAGCCAGTGTCACGCCACAGCAGTCCCCGTAAACGTGTGTCTCTAACATCAACACCTGCTACTTCGACACCAGCCAGCGGCCCTGGCAGTGGAAGTCCTAAGACGAAGGGGTCCTTAAATCTGAGCCAAGTGACCCCGACTACTACTCGGATGAGTCCGCGGAAGAGACAGACGACTAGGAATTTTTCAGATTCAAAAGAAATGCAGTCTTCAAGTCCCAAGAAAAACCTGTTTTCGAGTTCCAGCTGCAGTTCAGAATCCAAAAAAACTCGACCTAGGAAAACAGTTTTGTCTTGCAGCATTGACCCTCCAGTCCGCAGGTCACCAAGAAAGTCTTCTGCATCTTTGTTCAATATTTCACACTCATCAGGTGGGATGCCATTTATTTAAAACTAGAAGTTAGTTGTGTTGTCTTTTTTTAAGCTGTTTCCCACATTTAAAAAAAAAAAAATGTTGCAAATACTTACTATGGTGAAATAGTATTATGAAATTTAATGTTGCAGAATGTTTACTCCAATGAATAGAATTGTCATGGTTTGCTTGTACTGTTGCACGGGTTTGACTGGTGTGAGGAAGATTTTGATTTGAAAATTTTGTGTTGGTAAAAATGTGTTTTTGAGCTCATTATCTATCACTTGAAATGGAACCTATAAAATAAACCATTGCCAGGGCTCACTGGAAAGTTTTGTTAAAAAATACTTAAATGATTTATTTTCTTTCAGTGTTAGAATGTTAGAATTACTGGTCTACATTTATTTCCCTTCAACACGATTATAACCTTGTTTAGCGGTCTAAATAAAACCATTGCCAGGTTGTCCGATGACTATTATCATTATGTTATGAACTATTTCTGTGCATAATAGATAGCTTTATTATTGCAAGGAACCAATTTATGAAAGTAGTTAAGTACATCTACTTTATAAGATGTAACTTTGACCAGTCTATGCCTGGTCTCAACATCTTGTCAGGGCTGATGTGTCATATGACATGTCAAGGCTGATGTGTTGTGAATGTATGGCATGCAATGCAGATGTGTCAAATGGCTTGTCAGGGCTTATGTGTCATATGGCATGCAAGGGCTTGTGTCATATAGCATGTCAGGGCTTATGTGTCATATGGCATGCAAGGGCTTGTGTCATATAGCATGTCAGGGCTTATGTGTCATATGGCATGCAAGGACTTGTGTCATATAGCATGTCAGGGCTTATGTGTCATATGGCATGCAAGGGCTTGTGTCATATAGCATGTCAGGGCTTATGTGTCATATGGCATGCAAGGGCTTGTGTCATATAGCATGTCAGGGCTTGTGTCATATAGCATGTCAGGGCTTATGTGTCATATGGCATGCAAGGACTTGTGTCATATAGCATGTCAGGGCTTATGTGTCATATGGCATGCAAGGGCTTGTGTCATATGGCATGTCAGGGCTAAGTCATATGACAATTGTGGATGTAATGGATAAATTTAATTCAAATGTCTTTAAACCTAACCCTTTCATGTGAGGTAAAACCAAACTGTGTTAAATTAAATGTACATACATGTTTAAACAAAGACATTGCTTTTCAGCCGGCCCATCCCCTCTGAGTGTGACCAGGTTAAATCACGGACCATCAAGTGTAAGGAGCAGTTATACAGAGGATGATTCTAATGACAGCGTAACTCAGGGGACACCATTCAGTCAGAGGAACGGGCAGGGGAGCAAGGCGGAGAAGATGAAACGTTCTGAAAGACACAAACAGGCTAGTTGAACTTCCGTAAACATTAAGTGGCCCTGTAGCACAGTGGTAGCACTGTATGCCTTAGAACCCACATTAAGTGGCCCTGTAGCACAGTGGTAGCACTGTATGCCTTAGAACCCACATTAAGTTGCCCTTTAGCAGTTATTAGCACACTGGTAGCACTGTATGCCTTAGAAGCGAGATTAAGTGGCCCTGTAGCACAGTGGTAGCACTGTATGCCTTAGAACCCAGAGGGTGGGGTGTGAAGCCACTCAAGTTTGTCCCCAGTGATGGGCAAAGAGTTGTGTGGAATGCATCCAGTAAAAACACATTTAGCCACCAAAGTCAGATAAACACCAACCAACGAGAAGTGGGAAAAAAGTCACTCTTTGCTATTTGAAACACATAAAAGATAAGTGTTAAAACACAATAAATTAGTAAACATTATGAAGGCTTGTAATACTTATAGGCTTGTATGGCAACACTTATTCATTATAGGTTGTATGGTCACATAGATAGCTTGTATAGCCACAATTATAGGCTTGTATGGCAACACTTATCGGTTTTGTGGTCACTCTGATAGGTTGTATAGCCACAATTAGAGATTGTATGGCCACACTTTGTTTCAATTTTATGATAAAGTGCAATTTAAAATGTCCACAATTTCTGAGAGAAAGATTTGATAAATAATTTTGCTGCTGAGATCTACTTGAGATTAATTAATTTTTTTTCCCCATTTAAAACAAAAGATTTTAGAGCTTGAAAGGGAAAATTGGAAACAAATGAATGTTTCTGAAAATGAAATACCAAGTTAGAACCAAGTAAGATTCACAAACAATTATCATGTTCCGGTAAGGAGTAGTTCATAACAGAGGTCCGCCGAAAGTATGCATTGTTTTCTCCCCACCATCTGCATTAGGCGTACCCTCCCAACGGGTTGCGGATGTCCCCATGAAACAGTGTGAAAAGCCAGGAAGCATAAAAATAGATTCTGAAGAGGAAAATTCACCAGATTTCAACTTCTAATTAAATCTGATAATATGAATTATTTGAGTAGTAGACCAGTCCTGAGAATTAGAGAAAAAATATTAACAGTCCAAACTTGCATTGTTTACATTTGTTGATAAATAGCAAATTTTCACACCTCCTCTCCCCTTTGTCCGCATTTTAATGAACCTCCCTCACCCCCTACCTTCGTGGACTTCCTTTAAGAATGACCCCTTAGGTTATACTAATGTCAAAGGTTAATGAGAGAACTTAAGTTTCTCAGGTTCAAATTATCGCATCAATAATTTGATAGAAAGTTTGACATCAATAATTTGATGACATCAATAATTTGATGACATCAATAATTTGATACTTTGACATCAATAATTTGAAAAACAGTTTCACATCAATAATTTGATGGTTTGATATCAATAATTTGAAAGACAGTTTGCAATTAAATTTTATTTCAGAAACTGAAACGAATTATTGACAACGTACTGTCAGAAAAGGGAGTGAATCAGGCCAATAAAATGTACGCCGCATGCTCCAGGAATTTATTTAATGTCAGCATGGTCTTGCTCAAGGTGAGTCGGTCCAAGGGGTCAGTAATATTAATATCCTAAAATTCAATTTTAAATGTTCCAAAAAGTTGTACCTGGGTATTTAGAGAATTCAGCAATGTGACTGCTCTATAAAATATGACTACTCTATAAAATGTGACTTCTCCATAAAACATGACTGCTCTGTAATTGTTTCAAGTAATTGTTAATATGAATAATGAAATTACAATAATAATTTTTCTAGTTACATTAGGAGAAATATTTGACTGACCGAGTAATTGTAAATGTAGCAAATAATTATGTTAATTAAAAGAAAAAGTGAAATGTATTGATTATAAATTTCTAAAGCCAAGTATTTTAAAATCATTATGTTACTTGTTAGGGCCTAAATTTCTTGAATAATCAGATGTCCACATTATTACTGAAAATTACATTGATGTTTACCATAGAAATTATTATATTTTTACCCAGACTTTGACCACATCCCGGAATCTGACAGAAGAAATGAAAACAGTAGTCTATTCTCAAGTTACACAGGTGGTTATTTTCTTAGCTAGAGTCATATGGCTATGACATGTTTATTTTCTTAGCTAGAGTCATATGGCTATGACATGTTTATTTTCTTAGCTAGAGTCATATGGCTATGACATATTTATTTTCTTAGCTAGAGTCATATGGCTACATGTTTATTTTCTTAGCTAGAGTCCTATGGCTATGACATTTATTTTCTTAGCTAGAATCATATGGCTATGACACATTTATTTTCTTAGCTAGAATCATATCATCACTATGTTTATGTTGTTAGATAGAATCATATGGCTATGACATGTTTATTTTCTTTGCTAGAATCATATGCCTATGACATGTTTATTTTCTTTGCTAGAATCATATGGCTACATGCTTATTTTTTTAGCTAGAGTCATATGGCTATGACATATTTATTTTCTTAGCTAGAATCATATCATCACTATGTTTATTTTCTTAACTAGAATCATATGGCTATGACATGTTTTTTTTTCTTAGCTAGAATCATGTCATAACTACATGTTTATTTCTTAGCTAGAATCATGTCATGACTACGACATGTTTTTTTTCTTATCTAGAATCATGTCATTGTCATGACTACGACATGTTTATTTTCTTGGCTAGAATCATATGGCTTTACATGTTTTCATGTTATATTGTTCATTGCAATGGTTAACTTTAAATGATCCAATCTTTGAGTTGTAGAGCCTGTTTCAAATATAGCACTAAAGGAAATGACGCTTAGGCTTAAGGAAGAATCTTCCTTTTCAATATTATATCTTAGATCACAGTGAGTGGTTCATTTCAAATTATTTTAAAAAAAAAATGATTTTCTAGATCCCACTCAGTTATTCCAGGTTTTTATAAATGCATCTTTAGATCAATGTGAGCTAGTCATTCACACTTTAAATTTAAATCATCGTGAGCTAGTCACACTTAGGATCATAGTGAGCTAGTCATACTTACGATCATAGTGAGCACAGCTATACTTTAGATCATTGTGAGCTAGTCATATTTAAGATCATAATGAGCTAATCATACGTTAGATCATAGTTTGCTAATTACACTTGAGATCATACTGTACTAATCACACTTTAGATCAGGACTGCACAACTCAAAATGTAAGGTGGGCCGTAATACTTTATGAATAACTTGTGCGGGCCAAAAGAATAATAGGACAGAACTTGTGCGGGCCAAAAGATAATACGACAAAAGGGGCGGGGGGGGGGGGAAGGGGGGAGAGCTATTAAGAAAATAATTAGAACAAAATATTTCGTTACTTCGCGGCCTGCAAAGTGGGTGCTGGTGGGCCGCCCGCAGGGCATATGTTGCGTAGGCCTGCTTTGGTTCATAGTGTGCTAATCACACTTAAGGTCATTATATATTTAGGCATTAATCTCTTAAATAAATACAGTGGAACCTCTCATAATGAGCACCTCTCATAACGAGCAAAAAAAAAATGTGAAGAAGTTGCTCTCTTAACGAGCAATATTTCGCATAACGATTTGCGCAGAAAGGTGAAGTCCCTTTTTCCTGACATTCATTTGTGAGCCGGGCGCCCCCCCCCCCCCCCCCTTGAGCACCTCTCATAACGAGAAAAAAAAAAAGGTGAAGAAGTTGCTACCTTAACGAGCAATATTTCGCAAAACGATTGGCGCAGAAAGGGGAAGTCCCTTTTTCCTGACATTCATTTGTGAGCCGGGCGCCCCCCCCCCCCGCCCGATGCATTAGTCCAGCAGTTCTCAATCTGTGGGTCATGACCCCTTTGGGGGTAGCGCAGCCCTTTCCCAGGTGTCGCCTTAGACTATCTGAAAACACATATTCTTACAGCTATGAAGTAGCAGCTATGAAGTAGCAACGAAAATAATTAGGCTGCTGGGGGGGTCACCAAGATACGAGAAACTGTATTAAAGGGTCGCGGCACTAGGAAGGTTGAGAACCATTGCATTAGTCTGTGTTTAGCACTCGGTCTGTTAGTGTATTGTTTTTGCGTGTGATCAGCAGTTTTTACAAATTTTGTATTCAGACAGCATTCGTCATTTTTTAATGTGCTAAAATGTCTTCGAGAAAAAAAAAAACCACAAGAAGACAATCATAAAAGAGAAAAAATAACTGTTGAAATGAAACATAAAATCATTGAAAAGCGAGAACAAGGTGTGAGTGTGGCTATTTGTGCTACAAATTTATTCAATGATAATGCTGTGACACATTTTCGTCAAATTTTGAAGCGTCGGCAAAAACAAATGTCTTTAGACAGTTTTCTAGTTAAAAAGGATTAATTATTTGACATAAATTCATATTTTTATTTACATTTTTTGTTTCAAATCTAAATTGTATTCCAAGTTGTTGCACTCCTTAACAATTCATAAGTAATTTTATTTGAATAAATGTTAATACAAATTAGTATTTTTTCAGCGTGGAACGCATTATCATTACATTAATTTGTACGGGAAAAATTATTTCGTTTAACACAGTGTTTGGCTTAACGAGTAAGAGTCTAGAAGGAATTAAACTCGTTACGAGAGGTTCCACTGTAACTTTCAACCAGCAAAATAGACTTTACCAATGTATGACATTTTAACATTTTAAGGTAGCCCATACTGTAAGAGGAGCTTTCATTCCTTTCAATATTTTGTTCATTAAAAATAATTTCGTGTTTTAAGGATGCTTACATTTAACATCAAAATAAATGCATTTTTTTTTATTGTTGCAGATCATCAACTTAGAGGTTAGAAGGTGTGGCTTATCTGTCATCACTTAAAAGTGACAGCTGACACGATGTTTCACTTTAGTAATGAGTGACAATTGTCAATGGCAAATCACTATAACAGTGAATGAACATTGACCATGGCATATCACTAACAGTGAGTGACAGATGACCAAGACATATCACTAACAGTGAGTGACGGTTGACCATGGCATAACACTACCAGTGAGTGACGGTTGAACTAAAAGTAGACGGATGAATGTGATGGCTGCGTGAAGGTGCCATAAAATAAATGTTTTCTTTCATTTAAATATTGTAATTGTAATGCGGTTGTTGTAAATAAAGAAATTGAATCAGCCAATGTTTGATGTTCTTGTACTTAGTAGTAGGTGGGTAGGTTATAGACTTACAGGGTAGGAAGCAGTGGAGTATCTTCATTTTGCTGCTCCTATGTAACAAAAGCCACAATGCACACAGAATACAATAATACAAGCATGAAATTAAAATGCTGTCCCAAAATAATTTTCCCCGAGGCAGACCAACTCCTCTTTCTGCACTAATGGTGAGCAGGCAGGCAGGTGGAGAAGTAGGTCACAGATATGTCACCAGAGTGTGGACACATTGCTTCGTGGTGAGCCTATGCAGTTGTAGAGTTAGGATCTGATTAAATCACTGTCAGTCTGTGGGCAGGCAGTAGCACAGCACATCAATGCCTCATGTCAGGTTCACCAAAGGGTTCATTTATGCATTCAAGAAAATGTTGATAAAATCTGTGCATCTTTTCATGTGGTTGATGTTTAGCTTTAGCACAATCCCATGGGATCAAAGCACCGGTATCTAAGTACAATCCCATGGGATCAAAGCACCGGTATCTAAGTACAATCCCATGGGATCAAAGCACCGGTATCTAAGTACAATCCCATGGGATCAAAGCACCGGTATCTAAGTACAATCCCATGGGATCAAAGCACCGGTATCTAAGTACAATCCCATGGGATCAAAGCACCGGTATCTAAGTACAATCCCATGGGATCAAAGCACCGGTATCTAAGTACAATCCCATGGGATCAAAGCACCGGTATCTAAGTACAATCCCATGGGATCAAAGCACCGGTATCTAAGTACAATCCCATGGGATCAAAGCACCGGTATCTAAGTACAATCCCATGGGATCAAAGCACCGGTATCTAAGTACAATCCCATGGGATCAAAGCACCGGTATCTAAGTACAATCCCATGGGATCAAAGCACCGGTATCTAAGTACAATCCCATGGGATCAAAGCACCGGTATCTAAGTACAATCCCATGGGATCAAAGCACCGGTATCTAAGTACAATCCCATGGGATCAAAGCACCGGTATCTAAGTACAATCCCATGGGATCAAAGCACCGGTATCTAAGTACAATCCCATGGGATCAAAGCACCGGTATCTAAGTACAATCCCATGGGATCAAAGCACCGGTATCTAAGTACAATCCCATGGGATCAAAGCACCGGTATCTAAGTACAATCCCATGGGATCAAAGCACCGGTATCTAAGTACAATCCCATGGGATCAAAGCACCGGTATCTAAGTACAATCCCATGGGATCAAAGCACCGGTATCTAAGTACAATCCCATGGGATCAAAGCACCGGTATCTAAGTACAATCCCATGGGATCAAAGCACCGGTATCTAAGTACAATCCCATGGGATCAAAGCACCGGTATCTAAGTACAATCCCATGGGATCAAAGCACCGGTATCTAAGTACAATCCCATGGGATCAAAGCACCGGTATCTAAGTACAATCCCATGGGATCAAAGCACCGGTATCTAAGTACAATCCCATGGGATCAAAGCACCGGTATCTAAGTACAATCCCATGGGATCAAAGCACCGGTATCTAAGTACAATCCCATGGGATCAAAGCACCGGTATCTTTAGCACAATCCCATGGGATCAAAGCACCGGTATCTAAGTACAATCCCATGGGATCAAAGCACCGGTATCTTTAGCACAATCCCATGGGATCAAAGCACCGGTATCTAAGTACAATCCCATGGGATCAAAGCACCCCCCCCCCGGTATCTATTGTGAATCTTAATTAAAATAAGAATACATTTGAAAGCAAAAGAAAATTCAAAAGTTCCATTTATTTATTTTTTGGCAGCATAAAGTACAGCTGCCGGTGTACAATAAATTCATAATGAAGAGATTTTAAAATATTCAAATGAATTAATGAACATCAATTTGTATTTACATTACCTTGTACTTGCATTAAAACTTGCACACAAAAACTTCTCTCAAATAAATTGTTCTAGCTCCTAAACACACTTTGTATTTAAAACAGCAATACATTTTTTTTTCACTGTACCTCTCTTTGAAACTTAACAGTTTTTATTTTCTTTAAAAATTTAACTCATATAATACAGGTACAAAGAAAACTAACCATTGAGAGAAGATTTCTACACAATCAAATCTAAGTTAAATTTAACATGGGGTAATTAGCCCAACGGCCACAAATTTACAAAAAAAAAAAAAAATGTATAAATGCATAACATTATGTTATATTCATGTTAAAAAAATTATTAAAACCAAATGTACAATTTGAAGGAGATGCAGAATTACCAATAGGATCCAGCAGAAACTCATGACCATGTGCATTGCATTTAATGAGATCTTCAATATGCAATGAAGAAAGTTATGTTGAGATTTTCCCAATTCTTAGTGGAAACAAACTAAAGGAAAATGATGTTTACAACATACATGATCAACTATTCATAAATTGTGAGGATTTGATAAAAGAAATGAGCAAATACTGTTATGTTGGACCCCTTCCTTGCTTGAGAGCTCTGTACATTTCCATTTCAGATGGAAAAACTTTTGACAGTTCCAGCAACAGCATTGCCTTAAACCTCTGTAATAGTCAACAGTCAATGGTCATTACATTTAACATTCAGATAATAATGGAAAGATACATAACCATAGAATTCATTATTTCAAACAGTTTGCTCTTATGTTTTTTTAAAAAAATCAACAGACAAAAAGGCTTACCTTTAAATTGTCTGTTTTTCCCTTGACCTGTTCATTTTTTGCCAAAGCTTTTTCTAAGCAGTCTTTAGTGTAGAGATTCGGGTTTCTGCCTTGGTCAATGTAGCTGTAAAAGCATTTTTTTTAAATGTACAAATCTAAGACATTTATATATTAAGTGTGCATATGTGAATATTTCTAAGATTCAAGTAATGTGATTTTAAAAATAAATGTACAGTAATAAAAAACAAAACAAGCCATTTAAAAAATGTAAATCTACAAAGACACCATACAAAGTCTAATATTTTGGAAGTCATGATTTTTTCCCAATTTGGTGTGTCATGCCACTTAGTTCATTTTAAGTGGTTCAAATAAAACAGAAATACAAGTAAAACATGTTCAGATAATGAAAATTTCAATGTCTTCTCTGTAGTAAAGGCTATCTGATTAATGTCAAAATCTGTGTTATGATAAAAATACAATGTAAATCAGTGTGAAATCTATGATCTTCACTTTGACAATTCAACAGTGACATCATTAGTTTAAATTGTTACTGCTGTCAATGCTGAATCAACCTTCAAATCATCACTTCCACATGCAATGTCTACAAAATCATCTCCACTTTGACTATATTTCCATTTGAAAGACTTCAAATAATCAAGAAATTTTTCAAGTTTTGGTAGACCTTTATCAACGATCAATTCATCTTTTAATAATATAATAATTAGATAACCTAAGATTTTCTTTTAATCCAAATAAGTGGAAATGTATTTTATATTAAGACATTTTATATATTTTTAAAAATCAGCCATCTTATATCGTAAAAACCTCACGTTCTTAGCGACAGATAGAGTTTAAGATTCTTTATATATTTAATTTTGTATTACCACAGGGCAATATTGCTAATGACCAGCCATTATAACAGTTTGATGGTAACTATCATTATTATTTTTACAATACAACATAACATCTTGAACTTACTCAAACACTTCTAAGGGGACATGAACATCTTGAACTTGAGTCCTTAGTTTGTCAATTTCATTCATTTCTGTAACCATGGTTTGTCTGATGGGAAACAAAATGTTGTATACCTTACCTTAGGCTATATAAACTAAAGAGTGATATTGCTACAGCACCTTACCTTAGGCTATATAAACTAAAGAGTGATATTGTTACAGCACCTTACCTTAGGCTATATAAACTAGAGGGTGATATTATTACAGCACTGACACAATTGTCACCTTTTTATTTTAATTTCTGCTTCATGTGGTGCAGTGGTTCTCAAAATTGTTTTAGGTAAACGTTTTGCATTACCCTTAAGGATAATAACCCAACAGAATGAAAAGAAAAAGAAATGATCAAACTTGTCATGTATTTGATGAAGCTGTTTACTATAATTTCTTTCTTTTAAAACTTATTAGCTTGATCCAGCGTGACCACAGCTTTTGAAAGTAGGAGAATTAATGAGCAATTGATCTTACAAAAACGCACTTATTGATAGAAATGAGCTTCTTCACTGCTATGAATTCTATTGCTTTGGTTAGACTTAGTGAAGTGTTACAAGCTTATACATGTCTACCAATGTCTGATTTAAGGAAACCTAAAACTACTGTTGAATAAACAGGATTAGAAATCTCAAGTCTGGTTTATATCTCAGGGCAAAGTTTAACTACCACGCTGAACTAGACAGATATTGTGTGTGGTAATGGCTATTTGTATTGGAAAGGTCAAAGTTGAACAACCACACTGAACTAGACGGATATTGTGTGGTAATGGCCATTTGTACAGCTTGAACGGTCAAAGTTAAACAACCACACTGAACTAGACAGATATTGTGTGTGTTAATGGCCATTTGAACTGTTGGAAAGGTCAAAGTCGAACAACCACACTCAACTAGACAGATATTGTGTGTGGTAATGGCCATTTGAACTGTTGGAAAGGTCAAAGTCAAACAAACACACTGAACTAGACAGATATTGTGTGTGGTAATGGCCATTTGAACTGTTGGAAAGGTAAAAGTCAAACAAACACACTGAACTAGACATACATTGTGTGTGGTAATGGTCATTAGTACTGTTGGAAAGGTCAAAGTCGAACAACCACACTGAACTAGACAGATATTGTGTGTGGTAATGGCCATTTGTACTGTTGGAAAGGTCAAAGTCGAACAACCACACTGAACTAGACAGTTATTGTGTGTGGTAATGGCAATTTGTACAGTTGGAAAGGTCAAAGGTCATTCCCAGTCAGAAACATGATATTATCTACGAAAACTGTGGAACCAAAACTCTTTTTTTTCAAAATCTACAATAAAAGATTATTTAATTGTATTTGATAATTTTCATTAAAAATTATTTCCTTATATAACTCACCAATATATATATAAACATATAAAATATATACATATCTTTTGGTAATCCCAGAGCCCTAATACCTAATGAGCATTTAGCACCCTCCTAATTGGAGGACAACTGACAAGGATATTGAATGACCATACAATGCATGTACATCAAAGCAAAAGGTTAGAATTAAATTTTAAAAAAATAAAATGTTTCATTTAATACACAAAAAAAAAAAAGAAAATTGAAAATGTAAATTAAGCCCAGAATAATGGACCATCCATACGAAATGTCAAGCATCTAAAAAACAAAATAAATGTGTGTTTTTGTGTGTGTGTGGGGAGTAAACAAATTGTGACATTGAGTGACAAATATGTGATAATGTGGGGGCAACAATAGCTTGATGCCATGTTTTCATACATGCCAACCTGTATGGTTTAACCATACTTTTTTACGGTTTGCACAGGATTTAGAAAGAAAATATTTGTGCACAAGACACACGTTCAAAACTGGTGGTGCAATACATTTAATGTTGGACAACAAGAAGCTTAAATCCCCTTTGCAAAAACACTTCTGAGAGAGCTGCACTGGATGCCGGTGCGTGCTCGCATAGAGTACAAAATCGCAACGTTGTGCTACCGCTGCTTACATGATCTGGCGCCGTCCTATCTGAAAGAGCTGCTTATGCCTTATGTACCCACTAGAGAGCTCCGCTCATCCGATAGTGGCAAACTCTCGACACCACGTGTTTGCCTTGAGACTTACGGAAAGCGCACTTTCGCATTTGCTGGTCCAACAATTTGGAACGCCCTTCCTGTCGATCTCAGAAACAACCAGACACTGGAGTCCTTTAAAACCAATTTAAAGACACACCTATTTCGCAGACACCTTCTGGGATGATTGTCAACCTTATTTTCAAGTTAATGCATAATGGCTGTGTTGCTTGGGGTTGAAATGGCTAGAAAGACTTTGCAATTGTATGCTAGTAATTAGTCTTTGTAGTGTTGCGTTTGTTTTAAATGTGGTAAATTATAGATTTGTATTTTGTTGACTTTGTACCACGCTTCGAGCCTTTGGGGATGAAGCGTGTTTTTGAAATGAACTTTATTATTATTATTATTATCTAAATTTGAAACAGAGTGCGATTGCATTGATTTCATTTGTTAATACAAAGACAGCGTAGTAAATCATAATAAAAAATATGTTTGTGTCATTCTTAACAAGAAATGCAATGTTAGTAAGCTTCTTTTAATTTCTTCAAATAATTAAATTTATTTAATATTACTACCCAGGTATCAATAACTAGCATTAGTCATTATTCCTATTAAATACTATGGCTTGTTAACGGTTAACACTTTCAAAAACTAACAGCGGGTGTGATTGTCTTTGTTTTTGAGAGCTGAAATCAGTGAGAATGATAATATAGAGGCTATACTATACTATATATATAATAGGTCTATTTATAATATAAAATATTATATTCTTTATATATTTGTTGGATTGTAGAGCAGCAAAAGTGATACTGACATTACTGATACACAGGCAGAACCCTAGGGGCAGATGGCTCACCGGATTGAGACTGAGATGGATTGATGTTGTAGAGAAGGACTTACACCAGTGGAGGTCTGCACATAGAGTCCTAGAGGCAGAAAGCCATGGACATGGACGATTCAAACAGAAGGATGTTTGCTGGTGGTGGAGCAGAGGTAATCACAAGTGCAGTAGCTCCACAAAACATTAAACATTGAATTAAGAATATAGCTATAACTGGTCAAAATCCCAAAATAAAATAGACTGTGCATGAATAATTCTCAGTCGACTCAGTAGTATCCCGGCCATACCACATTATCATCAAACTCGTTCACCCACTGCTACACTACGCCTAAGTTGTGACTACTTACTACGAAGTTAACGAAGCCAAGTCTAAGTCTGGGCCATTAAAAAAATGCTTTAAAAAAAACCGAAGCCTCCACCGGCTAGGGGCCTACTTACATTTTTTGGTTGAGAACATTTTGACCCTGAGGTTGAAAGTCACTGACAATAATCCCCATCTGGCGAGTATTTTCTATAAAAAGTTCAAGCTTTTGCTCCAGTGTATCAAACTTCTCTATTTTGTCAGCCATTGTGATTTTCCAATCCAATGTGCTGTTCTACGGCGGCGGTAAACGTAAGAACCTGAAAGCTACCTTTACTGTTTCCTATTTTAGGGGAATTAATAAACAATATCATGAATTTTTAGTCCTTTTTTGTTTTGTTTTGTTTTTTTGTCAGTATTTTTGTAGTGGAGGGGATGATAAGCTATTAGGGGTAGTAGAAAGAAATCAGAAATGCAGTGAATGGGTTATATATAAAATAATTTTTCTAAGTCTTAATCCTAAAAAGAAATATGTAGAACAAGGTAGGGAAAAACCTACAAAGAAAAAGGACGCAACAGATCACAGAAGCGTAGCTAGAGTGTTGGCGCACGGGAAATATTATTTTTGATTACCCCTTTTGCTCTGAATCCCATTATTTAAAACAATAAAATACCGTATATATGTCAATCTCGTCTATATTGATGTGTTCAGAGAAAATGAATAGGCCTACGTGACAAATTTAAAAAGTGATATTTTAGAAATAATAAACTCGAAGTTCTTTAAGAATCACACATAGACGCTAATGGCAGAAGCAAAGGAAATAAGTGATTGAATATGTTTTGATATAGTCGACAGACATTCTTTCAATGAACAGTGAGTAGCTTCTAAATTGTTCAACAAGAAAAGCTATGATAGTTTTAAGAATAAACTGCCTACAGAAGACTAACCAATGAAGAGATAGGACTGACCAGTGAAGAAATAGGACTGGCCAGTGAAAGATAGGACTGACCACTGAATAGATAGGACTGACCCGTGAAGAGATTGGACTGACCACTGAAGATATAGGACTGACCACTGAAGAGATAGGACTGACGACTGAAGATACAGGACTGACCACTGAAGAGATGAGACTGACCATTGAAGACATTCGACTGACCACTAAAGTAATAGGACTGACCTCTAAAGAGGTGGTAGCTTACTGACCACTGAAGCAGATCACATGATTGACAAAGAAAATATTGAAAACTGTCCTGAGAGACCAGTCCTATGCATGAATATTTCAAACTAATTGACGTGCTGAAAGTGATTTTTGGCTGTAATTTAGATGGTGTTCTACGTGAAACTACGAAACTGATAAAAAAAATAAAATTACCGCACAATCCCATGACTACATGAGAACACGAACGCTGCTTCTAGATATTGATAAGAATTTTATTTTAAAAAATTCACAGGAGCACCACGAATCATGAAAGTGAAAGGCTAAATGTGGTTGGAATGTTTTCAAAAATAGAAACATTTCATCCCCAGTCATCCAGAAACCAAGGAGAACGCCATCAACATTTTCACGAATATAACACGAAGAAGAATGAATTTAGTTTTTAAATGAATTTAAGTTAAAAATAATTTCATTTTTTTCAGGCTTTTATCATTATGTATGCATTTTCTTTCTGCGCGAGTATGCAGTGGCGTAACTAAGGGGTGCGGGGGGGGGTGGGGTGGTGGTGGTGCGGACCGCACCGGGTAACACCACCCCTAGCTACGCCACCGCATGTATTTCCTTTTGCACAATATTAAAACAATGCCTACAATTTCATGAAGCAGCACCTCACACAATAATTGAAGACACGAGTCACCGCTGGCAATTGAAAATAAATTATAACCTATAGGTCTATATCCAGAAATTAGCCAACATATAATAAATATATTCTATTTCAGTCCTTTTGGAAGAGGCATTTGTCGTTGATGTTTTCATTATTTTCTTACTGCCACATTTAACGCGACTCAAGAAGCGTGGATTTGTTACGCCTACAAGCGACGTTAACCACAGGGCCAAGTTCTAGCTCACTGGCTCATAGCTGCAGTAGGGTGGGACAATATAGTCGCTTAAAGAGTGGGGCAACACGCTGGTGGAAGAGTGGGCTGTTTAGCTGGTGGAAGAGTGGGGAAACAAGCTGGTGGAAGAGTGGGCAGTTTAGCTGGTGGAAGAGTGGGGCAACAAGCTGGTAGAAGAGTGGGGCAACAAGCTGGTAGAAGAGTGGGGCAACAAGCTGGTGGAAGAGTGGGGCAACAAGCTGGTGGAAGAGTGGGGTAACTTAGCTGGTAGAAGAATAGGGCGTCAATTTTAATATATTAGCATTTTTAAAAAAGAAGTAAAGTTTATACCGTAAAAAAGAAAGAAAATCCCAGCTCGGAGCAGTAAGAAAGTGTCCCAGCTCGGAGCAGTAAGAAAGTGTCCCAGCTCGGAGCAGTAAGAAAGTGTCCCAGCTCGGAGCAGTAAGAAAGTGTCCCAGCTCGGAGCAGTAAGAAAGTGTCCCAGCTCGGAGCAGTAAGAAAGTGTCCCAGCTCGGAGCAGTAAGAAAGTGTCCCAGCTCGGAGCAGTAAGAAAGTGTCCCAGCTCGGAGCAGTAAGAAAGTGTCCCAGCTCGGAGCAGTAAGAAAGTGTCCCAGCTCGGAGCAGTAAGAAAGTGTCCCAGCTCGGAGCAGTAAGAAAGTGTCCCAGCTCGGAGCAGTAAGAAAGTGTCCCAGCTCGGAGCAGTAAGAAAGTGTCCCAGCTCGGAGCAGTAAGAAAGTGTCCCAGCTCCGGGCATAAAGACCATGCTCCCGAGCTCCGCTCCAAATCCCTGCATAGACTAATAACCATGAAGGTTTTACATTTTTAAAAATTCATTTGCGTGAATAAGTCAAAGTTCCAATGATACGAATTTAATATCTACTGCTAAACGGCTGGTGTGCAATCATGTTCTTATCTCCATTTCACGAGTGTCATAATGCATTTTATAATGGAATGATATTTCCCATAGATGGGCCCCCAATTTAAAACGTGCATTCGTAAACTGATATCTGCTTTTGAACAGTTTGCGTGGGGAACAAGTTGCTTTGTTCAAAATGTACTCCCTGCATTATTAGGTCTAATGGCCGGCAGATCGAACTGAAGCAGGTGTCGGCTACAAAAACCTTTGATAAAAATGTTGGTTTACTAAAGCCGAGTTCAAAATAGCATGTGGTAGACTGCAGAATTTTGTCCCGAGTCTTCTAATAGCCTCTGAGGCCATCGCATCACCAACTGCCCTTATTTCTTTTCCCTCATCTACGGACGGATAATTCTAATTGTTTATATTTAAGACACATCTCAATATATCATACATGACAATACAAGAAAGCAAATCTGAATTCATCAATCTGTGTAAATTGGTTTATTACTTTAGTGGGACCCCCAAGAGTTTGCAAAATGGTAATTTCAAACATACTCAACATAGGACAATGGCACTTTAATGTGATGAAGGGAAATATTTCTATAATAATACATCGTCGGTCGTACCCACAAGGTTCGTTCATACACGTCACTGGCCGATCATCGAAATACCAACTGCTCCCAATACCAACTGCTCCCAATACCAACTGCTCGCAGTACCAACTGCTCCCAATACCAACTGCTCGCAGTACCAACTGCTCCCAATACCAACTGCTCCCAATACCAACTGCTCGCAGCACCAACTGCTCCCAATACCAACTGCTCACAGTCCCAGCTGCTCCCAGTACCAACTGCTCCCAGTACCAACTGCTCCCAGTACCAACTGCTCCCAGTACCAACTCCCCCAGTACCAACTGCTCCCAGTACCAGCTGATCCCAGTACCAACTGCTCCCAGTACCAACTGCTCCTATTACCAAATGCTCCCAATGCCAACCACATTTAAAAGCGTTCAGTGTTCAAAGCGGCAGGAAGGGCAATAAACCCGGATGTCAAATCCGAATAAATCGAATGTCATTCTTCTTCTTTAATACACAGTCCTAGCAAATGAGCACCCCTGGAAAAGGCGGACCCAATCTTTGAGTATTTCAAAACCAAGACAGAGTATCGATTTTAATCTTTTCTGCTTGATAGCCAATGCCTACATCAAACACCAGCAGCTGTGTCCAAGTGCGGCCCAGGTGACGTCCATGTTGGCAGAGCGATTCAAAAATATAGACCACAAAAGATGAATCTAGTAAGTTTGGCTTCCATTTTTAGGACATCATTTTAGTTGACTTATTGTCTAGTCATAATTTCATTGTTACGACATTTGTGAAGTAATTTGGCGAGGAATGTAAATCTGTAAGGATATTTGTTGAGTCATTGATTCGTCGTAAGCTAGTTTTGAGCAAGGAAGACAATAATTATTCTAACTATTTTTTTTAATGGAAGCAGACTTTGCTAGCACTTGTTGCCATCACATGTACATACGGAGCAATCTCAGCGAAAGTTTCAAAGGTATCAAAAGAGAAAGGTAAGATAACAGACATAAATAATAAACGTAGCGACCAGAGCTTGATATAAGTGTTTATTCATTTTAAAAAAAACGTGTTAGACTTCAGATGACGGTATTTATGTAAAAATTCTCTAAAATCTCAAATTAACTCGTTAAAGGTTAAATGGTTGTACTTCTGAAGTCACCCAAGGAGGTCAACATACAAATGCCTAAGCTTTGATTCCTACATTTATTTAGCCCAAGGCATACATTCGTGGCCAAAAGGCTTCAAACCTCTTCCAGTGGAAAGTTCAAAAACAATAATTGGAATAATGCTTAATACCAGTTTTACAATATCACACTATGATGATGCACTTTTTAAGTCTTTCATTTGCTTAATTAAGCTTACCAGATTTCCTGGATGCCAAGTACGGACACAAAGGCTTACAGCCATTTGAACCATACCGGCGGAAAAAGGAAAGGGGGGGGGGCGTTGTTCTTGACTTTTTTGGACCCCTCCCCCTCAAACTCCTAAGTACAAGAAGCTTTTAACCATAGCCCAATGAAAACAGCCAAAAATCTAATCATTGTATCTACCACGGGGAAAAAATGTCTCGTGGGTTTATACCGCCGACAATTCGGCTAGCCCAGTGGTCCCCATAATATGCGTCGCTCTGTGTGTCATGTTGCCCTCGGGTAGAGCCATGAGAATGGGGCAAAGAGGGCAGTCACAATGGGCGCCAAAATCCTCTTTAGATAGGATCTTAATGGCGAATTAAAATATCGAATCCCATGTACCTCAGAAAGACAAGGGGACCAAAATCGTATTTTTTTTTTACTGATCC